TGGTGGTGGTGTTGGTGGTGGTGTTGGTGGTGGTGTTGGTGGTGGTGTTGTTTCGCGTATCTGGTAACGTTACAGATGAGTCTGTAACAGAACCTGGGAGAAAAAAGAGAAATGGCTGGGGATATCAGACGGGGTTTTTATACCTACTCAGCACTCGACAAAGTAAGTGCCAACAATTCAAAACTGTTGAGGACCTCTCTCACATACACATACACACACACATATACATACGCACAGACCCTCTCTTTCTGGACATCACCTCAACGCAACGCAACGTAACGAAGACCGAACGAAAAACCTCACTCATGTTCTCGTGTCTCAACCCAGTCCAGAACAGTGCAGTATGTTAAGAGTTGGATGTGGATGTGGATGGCCATCCACTCGGCTGCAAACCGCGCAGTCTTTTGAGGGGATGGTTCAGAACAAGGTTTACAGTTTATGCCATCCATTTACACTGGAGGGGTTTTCTTTGGTTTGTAGACAGGCAGACGTGGTCAGCCCCTCGCTAGTATTCTACCAGAGGTCACGGTTCACACCTACACCCAGCCACACTCCTTCCCCCCCTCCTACCTGACCGCGAAGCACGTGTGGGCGACTCTCGTGTTGCGTCTGAAATCTCGCCTCTCTTGTGTTTGTGTTGACACACTGTGCTCTTCTCCCAAGTATCTGCATCCCTGTCTGCGTGGCTGGCTGGGTCTGCGTGTAGCACGTGGCTGTATGGCGGTCAGGCTATCTAGCGCGTGGTCCGCCCATCAAGAACAAAGTTTATTACAAACGTCCTCATATCGACGGCATGGGGTGAGTTGAGTAAAGCACGGGCCGATTGAGCATAGGCTGACGGGCAACAATTCAAGATAACCCCATCGAAGAAGCATAGGCTCGTGGTTGTTGAGGAACACCATCCGCAAACGGAACTAGAATCGGTCGAGAGTCGAGAGCGATGGTTCTGCTTGGGAATTGATAAATGGACTGGGATTCTGTTGGGAATGCGAACCAAAAACAAGACGAGCGTAGGGTGTTAGACCATTTGCTATCTGTAGCCTCTGCTGGCTGTCTTCTGTCTCTCTACCGTGCCTAAGACATCACAGAACCTAGTAATGCTCCCAGATTCCTCGACTGGCAATCTCCCCGACATTCCCATCCAGATCGCCAAAGTACACGCTCTTGCCGCCGCGGGGCCAGTTCACCTTCCCGAGTATCGCCACGTCCTTGTCCTCGAACCACCTCTCCCACGCCTGGACGTCAGCAGGCGAGGCTACCGCAAGGCAGAAGTGCTGGTTCAGTCGGCCTGGAAGTTCTGCCCGCTTCGAGGATGCTGGGGTAACTGCTGCTGTCGTCGTCGCCGCCCCTGCATCTGCTCTGGTGGCGAGGAGCAGACTAAGGACGTCCTGCGAAGGCCCGTGGCCGGGGATCACACCGCGGTTGTCGGGCATGGGACTGTCGGCGGCAGTGGCTCCGAGTTGGAAGAGGAGCAGCGTCGTCTGTGACAGGGCGAAGCCGGACATGCGTGGCTAGAATTGGCGTATCGTGAGCAATTGGATAAAAGGATTTGGTGTACATGTACGCTAGGTACGTCTGACGAGGAGAGTTTCTTACCGTGTTCAAAAAAGGTTCGACATCCAGCACCTTCTTGTAGAACTCGGTTGCGGCGCCGACGTCCTTGACCATCAGACACGTCTCGAGAATGTGCGTGATCCTCGGTGGCTTGAGAGGAGCTGCCGAGCCCATAGACTCCTTTGCCGTCAGATCCTGTGCCATGCTTCTTTTTGATGTGCTAACGCTATTAAATCTCCTGGTAATATTGTTCTTCTCCAGCTCCTGTGCTGAAATGAGATGTTGCAATCGCAATCGTCTCAAGACACAGAAGGATGGCCGCCTCATTTATGGTTTTCTGCCGCCGCTGGCTCGCCGTTCTGGCGGTGGTGGTGGTTACATTTTTTCACTTCTGGTTGTTTGTGGTTGTCATGGTAGGGTTTGCCATGTCGTAATGCCTCTAACGATACGCGACTCGCCAGGACGCAAGTGAAGGTCCCCGCAGGCTAGGCATGCTTGGATAGGCTGGTGAGGGCAGGAAAGACTTCTAGAGGGGTTGTTGTGTAAGCAGCGTAGGTCTAGATTCCTCGGGCCGTTGTGGGGATCTCGAGGATTGAGTAAGCTGGTGTCTGTCACCTTGTCAACTCGTACGAGTATACCCATTTTTAGGCTTTGCGGGGTGTTGTGGATGCAACGGTGGTGGGAATACGAGGAAAGTCACAGATGGTGTGAGGACAATGTATGTGTGAACTTCAGTGCAAGACTCCCCATTCCTTCCTATGCAGCTGCCGCAATTTCCCCTAATGAGCAGGAACTGAAAAATGCATTGACTCCCTGATCAGCCTTGTAGACGCCCATGAACCCCATTCAAACAGCTATTGGGCGATGACGCGCTCGGCGCACTGCAGCCAGTATGCGGCCTCATCCCTACAGCGCCCATTCCTAATGTTGAAAGGCACAGAGAATCTGTGCACCGGCAAAGGAAATAGTCCTTCAGCGCGTCTGCCTCGTCCTGGTCACCATCAGGATTGGATATAAGCCGCCAAAGACCTCTTCATCAGCGGTTGACTGCTTTACCTATAGCGTGATACTACGGCAGTTCGACATTCGTCTCCCTGAAACTTACAGAGCCTGCCTGAAAACGACCATTGACTCTCTCTCAAGATGCGGGATCTCTCGAGAACTATGGTGACCAGCCTGCGAAGTCACATCCGCAAGCATTCTTCGTCAACCCAGAGTAGTCTATCCGAGAAAAGAACATCTTTCGGCTCGTCCGACTATCGGTCGACAACTCTCGAGCCCAACCACATCGTCGTTGAGGATAGACAGATGGACGATGAACGATGGAGCCGACTGGCGTTTGCCCTTGGGATGCCATACGGCGAGACACAACGTCCCAGTCCAGAAGCCGCGAGATTCGCCCAACAAGTCAAGAGACGCAGATTTGTGAGCGGCGTTGAGATGGCAGACCTCCTCCTACCGCTGCTGGTCTCGGTGGCCAAGAATCACCGCATCATGAAGTGCCGTACAAATACACTCTTCCATCGAGACGGCGTACCGGATGAAGTGCCCGACTTTGAGGTTCAGGATGGATGGAAGATGCAGCTGCCCACGCCGAGGCCGATCATCACTCTGGGCTATTCCAGCAGCGCATTCTCGTCGCATCAGCTGGAATTACAACACGGCATTATATCGAACAGCCGGCACGAACCCTGCAATCTCGCCAAGCTCTCCCAGCCTGTGCCAGATGTCTACTGGCCATTTTTCGTTGTCGAAGCACAGGACGAATCGATGCTCGCTGCTCGAAATGCGTCGGCCGGGTCAGCGGCGACATGCAACAACGCCCTGATGATCTTTGCCGGAGCTGCGGAGGAGCCGCAAAGGTACTACGGTGATATGAACTTCCTCTGGCGCTTGAGCAAAGCCGCACAATCCTTCTCCCTGTCCATCAACGGCAAAACAGCTTGTCTCAACACACACAACTCGGAAGGCTGCTTGCCTCATGCTGTGGCAACTATCAGGACCTATCAGCTCGACAATGAGAAAGATGTCGAATCAATGGCAGCTCGGATCAGCAGTATCTTGGTGTGGGCCGAGAACTGCAGACTGCAATCCATCAGTGATCTATTGAGCGCCTTTGACAAACGTGTGAAGCTCTGCAGGGACAATAAGGCCCAGAAGAGGTCGCCATATGACCCACCTGAGCTTGTCACCTTCAACACCGCCCCCAGGAGTCGAACAAGCATCATTAAGAGCGTCATAGCGGAAAGCCTTCCCCGATGGAGCCGGACAAGCTAGCCCGGGTCTGAAGAAGCGAGCAACAGTCTGTACATACGTGGAGTTAAACTCTGGCTAATTGAATTCGGCATGGTGGAGGAATCAAGATAAGTGCTTAACGAGACAATGACCTTGTGAAAAGTTGAATTATCTCCAGGGCTGTCCGCCTCTATCCCTGTTGTGGCTTGACGTGATGAAGATGTGTAGGCGGCAGGGAAAGTCCCGGGCGGGCCTGAAGTTTCCCTGTATAGAGGTGAGTGGTCAGGAGGACGAGTGACAGGAACTTACCTCCTTGGTCTACTCTTTCCTCATCGACCGGGGTTGGAAGCTGGGGAAGAAGGGAGGCCCAATTTCGTTTGATGGATCGACCAATGGGATATACCTGAGGATATACATGGAAATGCACACTGCTGTAAGTCGACGTTCTGTCCCTCTCCAGCTCGCCTGGCCATGTTGAAGCTGCTAAGTTTAGATCCACTTACAGGCCAGATGTTCTATTCCGGCGGCCCGAGCGTTGGTTCTTTTGGGCGACCTGCAGTGGCTCTCTTGCTTTGTGTGGTGATCAGAGGATTTTGTACCAATAGTCGACGCCCGGTTGTTGCTTCTAGGCGCCAAACCAAGACGGTGGCTCGCCTTGACCCTGATGCAGACCATGTCTGGCGCCAACAAACAACGAGCATTACGCGCTGGCCACGTTTCGGCCCCGTTACACCCGCATCTTAGCTGGACTTGGTGTAGACAGGCGTGGCTTCATGAGGAGCAGAAGCAATCACAAGCATCTGTTGCTTGCAGCAGACACGCATGGGTCATGGCTTTCTCTCCTGCATCGTCCATTCGACATGACCTGGTCCTTTATTTGGCCTCGGGCGCATCTGGAGACCGGGTGTCTATCCTTCCTTCGCCTCTCCGCATCTCCTCTCATTGGGACTTGCAAATCCGGGCACCCACCGGGCAACTCTTCACACCAAACGAAGCTTACGATGGAGGCCAGATCAGTACAGTCCGCGCCTACAGACGCAGGGGATCAATTACCCACCCGCCTTTCATACAGCTGCCCCCTACTAGAGAATCAACCGATGTGTGTCTGTTTCATTTTGCTAGACGAATGGTGTCTATCACGGCGCTTCCAAAGTATGCCACTCGCGCGGATACACTGTCAGGCCATGGTTGCCGAGAGGAACAGTCCTTAAAGTGCGGCCATTCTTCCCAATGCTACGTCAACTTCTTCTTCATTCATCGCAGCAGTGTGGACACTTTGGTGAAGTCTATCTGGTCTTTCTGACGATCCTTCGAGTCAGTGTCCACATCCTGTTATCCTAAAGCTCTGCTCCTCTATCTGTCTTGTCCGCATACCCACCACAAGCATGTCAACCACCAGTGCTGTGAGTGCGCATTCCGAAGATGACCTTCCTCCTTCGTCCTTCGATGGTAGCCACCTACCCTGGAAGGCGTTTCGTCAGCAAGTACTCGCACAGTATCGCATCAGAGTGATGGACTCTGCGCCAAAGGAAAAACTACCTACAGAGCTTCTGGCAGCGATTGAATCCGAACTACCCAATGTCACCAAATATGAACCGCAAAAGGAACAATTCCGCGATCAGGTCGTCAACGGTCGAGGATTTGGTCCTTCGCCCCTCTTTCCTCCCAACTTGCTCCCATCCATCGACGGTGAGCCTAAACTTGCTCGCTGCATGGTTCCTTGTTTCAGCCGAGAAGCCCTTCCCGAACGTGCTCTTAATCGCATTGGACCACTCTACGAACTGAGCGTCCCACGCAGTGGCCTTGGGTGCGGCTTTGCTGGCGCGGCCTTCACGACTGAAGAGCTAGAGGTCCTCCCTTCGTGGCTGGTGACCACTGGCACCATTGTCCACTTCGATACAGGGTACATCTCTCCAGGCGCTGCGCTGTACTGCCCCTTCCTGGTCTTTGAACGCACATGGGGAAACAAGGAACATCGCCTCGAGTCTGCCAATAACCAATGTGCTATTGGTGGCGCATGGTGTGTCAGGGCGCTTCAGATGCTATACGCCAAAGCCTGGAAAGGAGGAATGCTGCCCGAATTGCCCATCGCATTCTCTTGTTCGATCGACAACACCTTTGCTGTTCTGAACATGCACTGGATCGACCACGGTCAAGTGTATTGCATGTCACCACTGTGCAAGTTTGATCTCAGCAAGGACGATCACTTCAGCAGCTTCCTCGTCTGGGTGGACTCGATCGGCAAATGGGGCGTTACTCATTTGCTTCCTGTCGTCAAATCTGCTCTGGCGCGTCTGCGGATCAAGGAAGATACACCACCTCCTACTCCACGTGCAGCTAGGCTGACTCTCGACACGGCATGTCCCAATGAACAGCTCATCAAATCTCTGAAAACGACATTTGAAAACATTCCTTGGCGGTTCGATGACGACGAGTTCACGCCCGTCAGCAGCAGCACTGCGAGCTGGGGAAGTCCAATGGTCACTGACCTAACCTTTGCGAACTTGAACTATCCACCTGTGCCAGCTCGACCATACGGTGGCACGCCAACCTCTGCTGTCCAGAAGAAACAATTCCTGGCGAATTGGGGGCCGTACTCTACCCCTCCACCAGCATACGCACAGAACAGTGAACTGATGTGGCAAAAACGCCTCAACCATGCCATGGACGAGATCCATGACCTCCAACGCCAGATCCAGGTCCTGAAGAATGACTTCAGTGCATCCGCCGTAAACTGTCAGAGCGAGTTGTCGGATGTGAAGTCAACCATGAGTTCTGTCCTTCGCAAGGAAACTCTCACGCTGCGGAACAGATCGCTCTCTCTAGGCGTGCAGGAGACTTGGTCGATGCAAAACATGCAGCGGAGCCCACTCGTGAACGAGGTTCTTCCACAATTCGTGGTCGACAAGCCCCCGATGCCTCCACGGCATAGACCATTTCACCCACCGCCATCTCCAAAACTCCTTTCTCCAGGACTCCAATCTCATGGGCCTCCTTCACCTGGCCTTCCGTCTCCCGGTATGCCTTCACCTACCTTTTCCATCTACAGTGAGACCACCAACATTGTCACAGTTCCGCCTGCGCCACCCAGGGCGGCATCTTTGTTCAAGGTCGCCACTCTGATGGTATCCGGACATATGGCCAGCATGTTCATCCCCAATGTCCTCCTGCGAGTTTTTGTCTTGGGTTGCATCACCGATGTGTGCATCCTGGCTTTTGCCAGCCCGCACCTGCCCAGCTCAGCGGAATATCTCTGGTCACTCTGGAGATCTCGTTGATTTATTTGAAGTGCCTATCTCTTTTTTTCCTTTGTACTTTCAGCGGCGGTGTTTTGGTGCAATCTCGGCGGAATTTGGTCAGTCATTCTTTTCACCCCTTATATGGAGGAACCTTTGAGGTCTAAAAGCGGATACTGGAGGAGTTTGGACCACTGATCCCTGTGATGGGCCGGTTTCAATCAGTGTCACGACAATGGAAGCGCTCCGAATTGGGGGGTTTCAGCACTCCAACGGCGAGTGGAAATAGGGATGTCTCCCGAACAGAAGAGCAACAGGCTCTTTCACCATGTACATTATCGATATGGGCTGATGCAGGGCAGCGAGGCGGTTACCAGGTGTTTACTAGATAATGAGACCACTACTCTCGAGCCTCGAGGTCCATTGCCAAGTACCAAAGTAGGACTCGAAGTCGATGGATCACAGAGGTACCGGCAGCGGTACCAAAAAAACAAACCCCACAAGAAATCACTTGGTATATATGTTTTCACTCTCTAAATTCCGTCACGCAAAGACCCCCTTATCCACAACAAGGGCGAATCCGAATACCACGAGTTCGAGTCACGGTTACGACGACAAATAATCGAGGTCCTGTCAGGTCAAAACTAACCCTCCGGGGGTTAGTGGGCATCAGGCACCTCGATTCCTTCCCCCCGTCGTTCCTCCCTCCGAGACCCACACCGCCCTCTCCCATCCGATCCGAACCGACGACATCAACCAACTGTAGTATAAAATCCGTAGTATAACCGGGCGAGAAAAACCAACCCCCCCTGAAGGGGGGGGGGCCGAGTTTCGCTTATCACAGACCAGCAGGTTGAGCTGTTCTGTGATAAGTTTTTTGCCGCTTTGGATCCTGCTCAGAAGAAGGATGTTGGGCTAAGACAATCCAAGGCGTGACAGCCCCAGTCTAAATGAATGGTATTAGGGAGGCGTTTCAAGGGGGTCTGTCACAAACATCTACCCAAGACACCTACCTCAAAAGGGCGCTCCTGATCCATAAGGGCTTTATAGGGGCGGAACGGACTGTAGTACGGTGCGGTGTGGGAGATGGACACAAGGCTGTCACAGACAAGGCTGAGTACACAAGCTCACTACACAGAAACTCTACACACATAACAACTGACGCCAACACCACGTAAATGCGACAGCAAAGGCGGGGGGAAGATACAGGATATAAGCAAACCCGCCCAGGTGAGTCGGGAGAGGTCTTCTGTCATGTTGCCACTTCGACATGATTCATTCTGATATGAACGACCAAGACACAGGCACAGACGCGGCCTGAACTGGCTTGCGAGAGATGGACAGACTATTAGAATTCATGACCTTATTTCTCGACGAGGCAAGAACCAGACACTTCGGCGAACTCCTCACTCCCCTGATACGTGGTGAATGGAAGCTGGTCTTGGAGCGTCGGCCATCGGCGTCCAGCCCCATATCGAGGCCAGGTCCTGGAACTCGTGTAGAATGATACCAGCTTGTCCAATGCGGTAATATCCCCGTGCGGGTCCAGTATCTCCAGCTCGTACAGAAACTTCCAGTCTTCGAAATAGCATAGAAGAGAGAGAGAGAGAGAGGTGATACCACGCATTAATGGGTATGTATCAACATGGTTCAGGTCTTGGAAGTCAGAGACCCCGAGCGGTGGGGGTTTTTTGCCCCTAAAGTCGCCCTTGTTAGGAAACATGGACTCCGGTTTTGTACATATGGTTCCAATGATTTCATGCCCATAGCCCTGCATTTTTATTTTTTTTTCCTTCTCAGCTTTTTTGGTCCGCGATCAATCCACCAAGGAAGGTAGGTAGCCAGATCGTCGCTGTTTCGTCTTACTGAGGACCGATTACTGAGTACTCGTATTCAGTGCGGATCCACTATCCACTATCCACTGCCCAGCCAGCGAGTCATGTATTAATTATATCGATCTTGATCTGGAGGCGGCACGTCAGCCGCTAGCTTCTTCGAGCCAGAATGGCTCCACTCTCACTCAATAACGTTACGGATCCCGGGACGCTGTTGCGCGATGACTGCAGATGAGGGGGCGCGGGAGACTCAGTCGGCTGGGTACGAGACAAAAAATCAACACGTACATGGACACTCCACGGTGCTTTGCGCAAGGATAGTCTTTGAAAACTTTGCGGAACAAGAGATATCTCTCACCCGCTCTGCCTCTCAAGAACTTTGGATATCGACCTGTGTCCTCGACAATCATCGTGAAACAGTCCTTCCAGAAGGACCATCCTCCAGCAACCATGAACGCGGGGCATGGACGCAGTGTGGACATCAATGAGCCTCCACGTCCAGACGATTGACCTCTTCGCCAATAATCTTCGTCCCCTCCTCACTCGACAGGATATCCGTGTGGAACCAGTGCCGGACGCGATGTCCCGCGACCATGAGGACGATGATCAGCCCAAACGCCGCAACGGAGACAAAGGCCATCATGCCAAAGACCCAGCCGACGCCGACGCGGGCCTCCCAGCCGTCGATGAAGAAGGGGATGGCAATCCCAAAGATCGTGCGGTAGAAGTTCATGATGGTGGCGGCCTCGACGGGATACTTTGTGAAGCACTCGACTTCGTAGTTGACAATCACGGGCACGGCCACGTTGGAGGAGAAGTTCAGCAGGAAATTCCCCACCGCGGCGACCATGTAGTGCAGGTGGTACTGCAGGGCGGCGCCGAAGAGGCCCAGCCCGACGTTCAGGCAGAGGAACGTCGGGAACCACAAAGCGTGCAGCCGGAACTCGGGTTTCCACACGCCCCCGGTCCGGCGGCAGATCCAGAGAGGGAGTCGGTCGTTGAAGGCGAGCCCGTAGAGTTGGCCCGTGATACAGCCGAACCAGGCTGCAAAGGTGACTTCTCAGAAGGATCAGCTGGGATGAGACAGGCCAGGACAGGACATGGGCACGCTTGAGCCGGAGTGGAGAAAAGGTCTTACATTCAGCGTTCTGGTTCGGCGTGAAGCCATAGCCCTTTTCGCTCACGGGCGACTGTAAGAAGACGGCGAGCAGGTTATTGACACCGACGCTCCTAAGTGAGGAATGCCATCAGTATATCGTTCCTCTCATACTTGGCTGGGAGAGGAACTGACCAGCCAAAAACAATCATCAAGAACAACCCGCCCAGGATGCCAACAGGATGGACACCGATCCGGATCGGCATGGTCGCCAGATGGAGGTATACGTATACACACATCAGTATACCGCAATCGTCCACGATTGAAAGAGACGACTCACCGCTTCCCTGTTCGTCATCCCTTCAGCGACATTGGGGTTCCGGAAGAGATAGACGTCGACGGAACGCTGGAAGAAAGACGTCGCAGGAACGGGATACGCTGGCCGTCCAGGTCTCGTCCAGCCGGTTTCTTCGAGGAGGAACAAGATCATCAGGATGACGAAGCCTTCCAGCCCGACGTTATACCAGTATTCGATGCTCCAGGGGGCGCCGTTGCCCACCACGAAGCCGGAGAATGTCGGGCCTGCAAGGGTTCTATTCACATTTTCCAGTAATTAGCAGTTGAGATGATTGAATCCCTTGTGGATCTTCTATTATGAGGTAGAGAAGAGCTCACCCTAGGAGGATCATGACGTTGTAGAAAGCGAAGCATTTCCCTCGCTGATGCAGGAAGAACGTGTCGGTGATGTAACTCGCGCCCACTGCGAAATTAATCCATTGAGATGTTATTAGTAGACTGCCACACTGCCAGGGCTAAAGACGGGCAAGACGGTGATTGACCGGACAAACACTCACCAGTCGTCGCGCAGGATCCCGCCAAACAGCCAAACAACCTCGACAGCACGAAACTGTAGTAATCGCCCGAACCCGTGCACGTCGCCGCCCACACGGTGCAGGCGAGGGTGAGGACCGTCGCCCACAAGATGCTGCCGCCGCGACCGATCCTCCTCGAGACGGGCGACCAGAACAGAGGCCCGGCGCACAATCCAGCAGTGGCGGCCGAGACCTTTCACGATCAATGGCTTGTCAGCAACCTTTCCGTCTCATCCGGGGTGCCTGACACAAGTAACAAGTAATGGTAACTGTGTCTCTCACCGAGTATGTAATCTCGACCGGCGTCTTGTGGTACAGTGCACCTTGCTGGAAGACACTGGACACGTTACCCACGGCCTGCAGCGTTCCTGTGAACCCGGCAAAGGACACGATAAACAGCGTGAGAAGTTTCCGGCCTTGTGACCAGTTCTGATCCGAAGATCGATCGTCAGCGTCTTGCAGCACGAGAAGTTGGGAAAAGATGCAGAACCACGTACCAGTGGATCGCGAGGGTCATCGGATGGTGCTGGGATCAGTGTGATGCCGGCCTTGCTGTGCGCGGTCGTGACCTTGGAGCTCTCATGGTGCTCGACAGCCTCTTCCTTGGACATTCCGGTCGTGTTATCCTGGGTCCTGTGTTATTACTTTTTTTTGGCGGCCTGTATCGTGATCGAAAAGGGGATGGAGAACTATTCTGAAAGTCGACGCAGAACTAAAAGCAATGAAACAAGCAGGTCTTCTACTCGCGAGGCAACAAGTGCCCTTGCTGTCCTTTTGACCCCCCATTTCAGAGTCCATGTCTCAAAAGAACCTTCGCCGTTAGCGTGTCGAGGCGCTGTTACTTCCCCAGAGACCCCAGGAACAGAACTAGTCACGGTGTTTCACGGGGTTCTTGTACCATTGTCCGGGGCGGCGGATCCACCGTCCATCCAAAGCTTCTTCACCCACGGGGAAACTGCCCGTGGGGGAGTCAACAGGAAACAGTCGCCGAGTATCCATGTCGAAATGACCTGGATCCTCTCCGCATAGCTCAGCTAGCGGGATTCGAGCTTGGTAGGCTAAGCATGGAAATCCATCGGTCGCAGGGGACTAGACCGGAGGCCGGCCTGAGTATAAGGCCTATGGGACTAACGGAGTGACCACGGGACCATGGCAGCACACTTACGTTGCACCGTGGTGGGAGACGAGAAAAGACCCAATCAAAGATGACCCATTTCACGGCGAATGCACCGATCCAGAATACTTCGATCAGGCTCCATTACTCGCATTCTTATTGGCTGTTCTGGGCTCGGAACCTCAGACGCCCATTCCGAACACCAGCGGATCCACCTACGGAGTCGAAGAAAGCGGTAGGCTGGTTGACCGAGGCTTGCCCCTGATGCTTGGAGCAATCTGAGCATATCGGATCGCTAGCTCTTGCTCCCGAGCGGTCAATGCTGTTGGGTCGACCCCGATGAGTTTGTTCAAAGCACGAGTGAGATCTGGACAGATCAGACTTGGACGAAAGGTCAATGAGTGGAGAAAACAAACCTAGCATTATCGAACCAAGACCCCAATGTCTGGCATACTGCGCAATTCCAAGGCAGACAACATCGCGATTAAGGCTGCTGAGTGCACTGGAACCTTCAGAGCTGGTCTGCAGAATATGCATCGCCGCGGGCCCGACCAGCGAACAGACGATGAACGGCGACGAATAAGCAATATAGTCGGCCGACCAAGCTTTAATGGCCCTAACAACTTCATGTGCATGTTGAACACACTTTTGGGCGACGGCTCGTTGCTCGTCAGGATCGAAGGGGATGTTAGTTGGTGATCCCGATGGTGATCGAGCGACGTCTTCTGAAGAACAGACTATGAGAGCTTCGTAGGTGCGCGCACTATCATTAATCAGACATCGATAATACTCTGCGCATTCAGTAGTGGTGACCACACTTGGTATAACTCACCTCTGCAGAATGATATTTGTAGTGATGATCCAGTTGCTCCTCGCGAACGTCGAGTCATTGAAAACAAACATGCTCGAGTTCAGCCGGAAGTGGTTGGGCAAGTTCAGACTGAAGCACGTCAAAGCACTTTCTATCTCGGCTCTGGCTTGCGGAGAGACGCCAGTCTGTACTTTCAGATCATACGCCAATGCCATCAGGAAGTTGGCAACAAGGAACCAGGCTCTTTCGTCTTGGTTCGGCGAACCCTGCAGGCTCCTCCAGGCAGTTGCTGGGGTAAGGCCCATTGGTGCAGATGCAATCGGCTGCTCCTCAAACCACCGTTCATCTGAGCACGGAAGCAGCACCTGCATTTTGTTGCGATCAATCGTAAATGGGCGGCGGACGACCGTCGACGCAAACGTGTCCAGCTCCCAGACTGACCACCATGCACGTCGGTTTTCTTCTCGGAGAACCCATTCTTCGGTGGAAGACCACTGATTTGAGAACAAATTGGGTTGTTGGCAGATGTCCTCGTCAACAATGTCGATCTCCAAGTCGTATGCTAGTCGAGCACAGACGCCAGTGAGTGTCCATCCGAACGAGTTGGAGGAATTCGTGTTGTGATAGAAAGATAGCAATATGCAGCCCTGCAAGTACTGGAGTGAGGGAACAAAGCCGTCTCCTTGAAGCCTGGTCCCATCTGCATAAATCGACTGAGCTTCTTTCGCGAAGGACTCCCCACGGCAAGTGGGCGCAACATTGGCAAAGTGTGCTGCATTTGAGAAGCGAGCTGACAGAGCCATAATGCTGTTCAGCATGAGCCCACCCTCCAGAGACAAATTTTGCCCGATGGCATCTTCCCGCCTCTTTTGTAAGTAGCGAGCATAGAACTGAGGGCGATGCAGTATCGGGACGAAGCCGCTTACGCGATCGAAGAAGAGATCGACTCTGTGAGAAATTAGTCCAGATCCGCCTTCAAGTCCCGAAGTTCTAACAATTGCCTCACTAGGTCGTCCGCAACTGTCAAGTTGTACAGTTTGGGCTTGGGTTTCTGAGTTTGTGATAGTTCTGTCGTGGCTAGATTTATCTCTGTCGCTGATTGTGTTGTTGCAGAAGTGGCGTTGACATCTGGTAGATCCAGCAGATTTGCTTGTTTCTCAAGGCATGGATATGCGTCGCTAAAGTGCGCAGACTGAAACCCGTCCTCGAGAAAAATGTTGGACAGTGACGGGCTGAAGCTGGCTTGGAGGTTGTATTGGTCTCCAACCTGGATGTTGAAGCTGGGTTGCTCTGCAAAACTAAAACACATACTTTCTCCATGGTTGTTTTGCGGAGATGAGACGAAGGCGTCTCCAGAGCTCTCTTCAAGGGTCAAGTCTCTAAAACTGCTTTCGCCGGTGTGAGCACCATTTGTAGTATCTTCTTCATTCGCGGTCACTCTTCTTGGCGATTCAGCTGTGTCCGAGTTGACTTGCGTGGTATTTGAAAGGCCATCTGTGAAGTAGGCTACACTCGGCTCAGCAACTCGAAGACCGGTGTCGACAGACATACTGAGAGAGGTGGTGGAAGCACTGTCTGGACAAGGTCCTCTCCGTCTTTTCCCCTTAGAATGAGCCCCTTGGGCGCAGCGCTCTGGTCGTTTTCTCTTTGTTGGGAAGATACATTGGCTCCCAACACGCAGGCACAATGTACAAGTCGGCCGTCTCATGTCACCTGAAAGTCAAAGTCAGGCCAAATGGAGGAAGAGAGGCAGAGATAAAGTATTCAACAACTGCCGCAGCTGGCGAGAGTGCGACTATGAGACACCGCGGGGTGGACTGACATTTGGTTTTCTTCCTTTCCAGGCAAAGAGACATTAGCTGTCTATGCCTCTGAAGCAACGACGTATATTCTCACCTCTTGCACTCTCCACAGGCTCGAATCGGCCACGGTGGTTGTTGGTACTGAATGTGAGCACTCGATCCGTCAAATGTGTGCTCTGCGACCATCATGTTATCCCTAGCAGGGCCAACGTAAACTCCTTGCATGTTGAGAACGACCTCGAAACCCGTAAGGCAAGGAAGAAGGTGGGAACGTAGTGAAGAGGATAGGAGACGAATTCGGCTTGCACCAGGAGGCTCTTGTTCTGGGGATGCAAGTGCGGAGAAGAGGTGTTCGATTTACTAGAAAGGCGCTTCATTGCATGAATCGTGGAGCACTTGAGGGGTCTTGTGGATCTTGTTGAGCTGCCCAAGCATTGACGCCTAGCGGAGGACAGACTTGGGGCGGTCTGGCATCGTGATGGGCATGGCTTACGGCTTATGCAGCCCAGTTAGTTAGAACCTTCATCGCTCGACCGGGATCCGCCTGATGAGCCGATCTTGCCGCGGCCTAGGGGGCACTGGAAACGGAGAGAAAAGCTAGTGTGGCAGCTACTGAAGGAGCGTAGTGTAAGCGGAATCTGTCCAAGGACTGAGAGGGAATTTCGAAAGACGCAATCGAGTTGAAGAAACAAACACGCGTTGAGAGAGCATCACGTGACGAGGCTGTGACTCCCTTTTCATCGATGCACCGAACAGAGGGAAGGCGACAACCACAAACACCCTGGGCAGATGACATATTCAAGTCATCGGTAACATCATAATCTACAGTTTCCCTCCCTCCGAGAGCCACACTTCAAACGCCCTGTTGGTATCTGCCACAGAGTCGAATCCCAACATCTTCCTCTGGTAATTGATATCGGCCCAACCCCACCGGCACGGCTTCTCCCAGTCTGCCTCTGCCAGCTCTCTGTCTCGAGCTTCTTGCTCGGGACCATCGTGCATGTGAACTATATTGACTTTAGTAGGTCGCCCTAAAAGAGTCTTGGGTACAACATCTGCATCAAAACCCGACAGAGGTAGAAGGACTTACACATGTACCGGTTGGCAATAGCTCCTTTCACATTGGTTGTAGTTCTCTTCTTGCGCAGCGACTCAAACAGTCGAAGAACAGAGTTTATCGAGGCTCGTTTCTCCTCGTCGGGGACTCTGTCGCTGGCTTGGAGTCGGCCGAGCAGAAGCCCAAGCACTAGACCGTCTTCTACGGCCATGGCGGCTCCTTGTGCTTGGTAGGGCAGGCTGGGATGAGACGCATCTCCAAGGACCACAACGTTGTCTTTGACCCAAGTCGGGAGTTCTGTACACATATCGTCAGTTTCGGGAGCCTTGATCGGGAACAAGACTGCTCGTAGAGATGTCCTGAATTCATACCTTCATGGTGACACAGCTTCCATTTCAAGACGGTGTCATGGCAGGATATGATCTTTGCAAGCCTAGATGAAAGTCAGGAAGAGTCAGACCAAACAGGCCCAAAGAAATCACTGACACAGGATCCCAGCCTTCATATGTCATCCGCATCTCGTCAACATCACCCGCTTCCGTTCTGGACCCAGAAGGCAGATTATCAGGGCGACTGTTGCTGTCAACCAATGACTCTGCATATCAGATCTTCATACTCACATGAGAACCAGGTTGAATGCATCGCCATTCTTGACTGGATAAAAGACGCTGTGTCGGTCTGGTCCCACCCAGTTGTAGGTGCAGCGTGAGTTGATCAGTTCGTCGACGCGAGGATCCTGAAACGCCTCAAGTTGCGCGCGAGAGAATGTCCCCCGGTATGCGAGATCCCCAGTCGGCTCAGGAGGCGATGGTTGCCCTACAACAATGTCACGGATAGCGGACCAGAGGCATGTAACGAGACATTGTCAGCACTCTCAGCCACGAATTCGGGATTGACCACGTACCATCCGCCCCAACGACAACATCTGCATCGATAACTTCACCTGTCCGAAGTACCACTTTGGGTCTCTCGGCCGATGCTTTGACATCGACCACTTCCGCGTTCAGTTGGAGTTTGCCCCCGAGTCGGGACACTTCATCGAGGAGGACGCTATGATAGTCTGCCCGATGGATGACACTGCACTGCACTCAGTCATCCTTTCCCTCGCCTGTGAGTTTGAGGGCAACTTACAACCAAGGACCGTTGAACTCCTTGACCATCTTGTCGGTACCCCACCGGCTACAGAGGATCTTTCCATCTTTGTAGCGCTTGAGGTGGTTAGCTTTGACTTGAATGGCCCCAGCGTCGCGGATCTTTTGCTCGAGGCCAAAATATTGGAGGACACGAGCAGCGTTTGGCGGAATCTGAATTCCAGCGCCTATCTGAAATCACAGTTGTCTTAGAAGAAGCACTTGGAGTACAGTACTGGCAATGCCACGTACAGGTGATATTGCCGGTGCCTTTTCGAGAACAGTCACTTCACATCCGCCGCGCAGACACGATATTGCTGCGGCTAGGCCACCTATTGCAGTATGAGCAAGTCATCGAGACAGACAGGGTGTTCTCTGTTGTTCTTTACCGATGCCAGCGCCTACCACGATAACCTTGAACGGCTTCTTCGTCTGCTTGGAGGTCAGCTTGTTCCCGGACCATAGTTCAGCGTCATCACGCACAGCATTGGACTCTCCACTCATTATTCAGAGGATATTCACTTGATCTTGAAGAAAAGTGGTGGTATTTGCAAAGAGTTGACCTGCAAAGTCAAGTTGTTGCTGACTGAAGGAACGAGGCACGGCTCTGATATACGATTTTCCTAGGAACCCACTTGGGCAAATGGACTTCAAGGAGACCCTCGTCTACTTTTCCACGAGCCCATTAACGGAAACACGGCTCTCTCCACCTTTAGCTAGGCTGTGAGGTGGCGAGGTGGACGGTGGTTCTGTGGGGGACGGTTATACGGCCCATCATCTCGTCTTCGGAACGCCGTCATTTACTTCCGACTTCGTGTGTCCGCTTCGGGGCCCTTTCCACATTCAATATTCGCATAGAGTGAATGTTGTCAACGGCATCTCTATACCACTTGGGAGGTACGGTCTTCCACGGCGTGAAAGAAATGCAGCACCCATCGGCACGGGCACGACGCATCCGACTCACAATATCTATTTCCGCGCCTGCCCATCCTTTTGTGCTACACTGGGTGGCTGAGCATCCCTTTGTCTGATACGCGACATCTACCGAGCCTGGACGTCTGACACGGTAAAATACTGTTTGTGCCTGAGAACAGCTCTGGGTTGATTTCTTGGCCCTGCGTGCGAGACACCGATGGTCATGAAGGCAACTGACGGAATCTGCCAGGGTGAGTCGTGTTTTTTCCGCAATAAGATCTGGGCCTCGTCCCCCCTTCCCCCGCTGACTCTACAAAGATGTTTCGGTTCCAGTGCTCATCGTAGGTGCCGGTCCAGCCGGTGCCACCACCGCTTTACTGCTCGGTCGCTATGGCATTCCGTCGATTGTTATTTCTCGCCATCGAGGCACCGCCAACACGCCGAGGGCGCACATCTTCAACCAGCGGGCAATGGAAGTGCTCCGCGATGCTGGAACTGAAGGCGTCGTCAAGGATGTCGCGTCAACCAGGGAGCAGATCGCCCATGTCACTTGGCTGCATACCCTGAGTGGGGAGGAGTATGGGCGAGTGTACGCGTGGGGGACAAGATCCGATCGCATAGGAGACTATCTCGTTGCAAGTCCCTGTGAGATGTCTGACCTGCCACAAAGCGTGCTGGAGCCCATCTTGGTCGAGGAAGCCGCAAAGCTGGGAGCAGAGTTCCGGTTCTCCACCGAGTTTCTCTCACAGCGACAACTTCTCGATGGGCGGGTTGTGACAACTGTGCGCAATCGGGCGACAGGTGCAATCTACAACATCACCGCGCAATATCTGGTGGGCGCCGATGGTGCGAGGAGTTCAGTCATCTCCAGCCTTGGAATTCCCGTCGACGGAGAACAGCTCAGCAATGCCTTTGGCGTCCACATCAAAGCAGATCTGGGCAAATACTTCCTCCACCGTCCGGGTTCTATGGTATGGATCTTGAACCCAGACGCACCAGACTGGTCATCCCATGGGTCCATCAGGATGGTGAGGCCGTGGGATGAATTCCTTGTGTCAATGCACACGGCTAAAGACGTCGACTACGACCCCTGTACAGAAGATGTCATGCGGCGACTGCACCAAATGATCGGCGACGACTCGGTCCAAGTTGAACTGTTGAACTTTTCTCCCTGGACCATCAACGACCAAGTGGCACGGACGTGGCAGAAAGGCAACGTCTTCTGCATCGGCGACGCTGTTCATCGGCATCCACCGTTCAACGGCCTCGGCTCAAACACGTGCATCAGCGATGCGTTCAATCTTGCTTGGAAACTGGCGTACGTGGTGCGCGGCATTGCGCACCCGTCGATCCTTGAAACGCTGACCCTTGAACGGAAACCGGTTGGTGACGGGATCGTGCGAAGGGCCAACGACGGACTGCTCGTCCACAAGAAGCTGTGGGCACTGATGGGCTCGACTACGGCGGAACGTGCAGTCGTGTCGGAATTGCTCCAGGCCGCAAGCATTGACGGGCAACGCCTGAGAGGTGAACTGCGCGGGATTATCGAGGAGACGGACGACGAGTTCAACGCCTTGGGCATACAGATGAACCAGATCTACTCGCCGTCGTCTCCTCTTGTCCTGGTCGAGGAGGGCGACCGGCCACCCGACCTTGCTGGGGTAAACCTGCTGAAAGAGCAAGTGATCTCGACGTTTCCCGGCTTCCATGTGCCGCACGTGTGGGTGGTGAAGGACGGGCAGACGGAGCGCACGTCGACGCTAGACCTGGCCGGACGAGGCCGGTTCGTTCTTTTCACAGGCATCGGCGGCGAAAGTTGGCTCCAGGCCGCAAAGGACATCTCGCGTGCAGACGGTGTGCCACTGCAAGGTTATGGGATCGGGAGAGGCCTCGAGTACTCGGACGCGTATTGGGACTGGGAGAAGGTGAGGGGCGTCGAAGAGGACGGGGCCGTCCTGGTGAGGCCCGACCATTTTGTCTGCTGGCGATGTCAACGCTTGGACTCAAACCCCGACGCGAAACTGAGAGAGGTGATCCAGACGCTTCTCCGCCCTGCGCGATAGCTTCCTGAATCTGGCACATGGGATTTGGTTTCAGAAAGGGAGCACCCTGCAGAATGCCAATTGGGATTAATCAGTCCTTACTACAGAACTATCGTAGCATGTACATGTACCAAGTGCTCTAGAAATCAATCTATCGAGTACACCACAGCCAACTCATTCCCACATTCCGACTCTCTCCAACTCCAGCATAGGCCACCCACCACCCACCACCATTTTCTTTACCTAGTACTAGGTATATCCAGAGCGTAAATTCCTCAGTCTTGCTCACACCGTCATGTACGAACCATCACATTTAACCGTAACTACTTTCCTCATCTCCTCCTCTGCTAGACTCCAACCTACTAAGCCCTAGGATAAAACCTCGGGGATCCCACACTACGTTCGTGACGGGATACTCTGAGAATCAACCTCCGGGCGGCACGGACAAAGGTAAAGGTGAAAAACGGGGACGGCCACCCAAGAACGCACGGCATTCGTCCAAAAACGGCTAAACGCCGCGATTTACCCCAGCCCCGTGGGGTACCAAGTACCCAGCTGGGGGCACAACGTTGCGCGGACAAGTACGACTAAAGCTGCCGGATTGCCTTCGCCGTGCCCTCCCCGCTGGCTGTCAGTCAATTGTTGCGTTGTCCGGGGTTTGTGGCCCCGTCGAGATGTACGAAAGAGTCGATCTGTGCGGGATTACTTCCGTTCTTGACCTTGAACCTTGGCTGTCCCATACACACACCTTCAGTTATCCCTCTTCATCGTATGGCTGTGCCTGTTCCTGTCCCCTCGGGCGCTATTGAGATCCCAGCAAAACGGGCGGGGCTCGCACGAGGCTGACAAATTTTCATTGACGAGGGCGGGCTCAGAGTCCTATATGCTGCGGATAAAGAGGCTGCTTTATGAAAGTATATCCCTGAGAGAGGTTCCTGTCAGAGGTGACTTCACGAAGAGTACACGCACACGAGTTTAGAGGGCAAGAAGGTCAGAGAAAGAGACCAAGAAAGAACTGGTTCAAGTCAACCAACCTCAGGGAAGTTAGTTTACCTTACCTGGCCACCTCTTCCCACTCCCGCCAATCACCACTCACAAACAGCAACGATACACAATCAACAATGCCCATTCCCCCAGATGACCCGCGCATCCGCCTCGTCAAGCTCGCCTTCGTGACATACTACCACCGCGACGTGCACGAGGCATCCAAGTTCCTCGTCGACTTTGGGTTCGAGATCGCCGAGCAGCGGGGCGGCGACGACGACGAGGCCATCTTCTTCACAGGCTACGGGCCCGATCCGTACTGCTACGTGGCGCGGCGCGCTGAGGACGGCGTGCCCCGGTTCGGCGGCGCCGCGTACGTGGTCGAGTCGGCGGGAGAGCTCGAGCGGGCGAGCAGAGAGATTTCCGGCGCGTCGGGGGTCCGCGACCTAGATGCACCGGGGGGAGGGCGCATCGTCACACTAACAGACCCGGTCGGACACCTCGTGCACCTGGTGCATGGGATCCGCGAGAAGGCAGCCAGCGGCGAGGCGTCGCCAGCGAAGAACCTGCAGAAACGGATAGTCAACTACACGGACGAGAAGCGACGAGTGGGAAAGTTTCAGCGGTTCCAGGCAGGGCCCGCGCCGGTGCACAAATGCGGCCATTACGGGGTGAGCTACCCGCCCGGGCGGTACGGGGACATGGTAGCGTGGTACACGGGCCACCTCTCGCTGGCGTTCAGCGACAAGGTGACGATCGAGGGGGCCGAGGCCGTCTCGTTCTTCCACATCGACCGCGGCCTCGAGTACACGGACCACCACTCGTTCTACATCAAGCCGACACGCGATGACGAACCCCCCGGCGTCGCCCACAGCGCCTTCGAGGTGCACGACTACGACGTCCAGCAGCTCGCGCACAACTACCTCGAGTCGCGGGGCTACCGGCTGTCGTGGGGCGTCGGCAGACACGTCCTGGGCAGCCAGATCTTTGACTACTGGTACGACGAGTCGGGCTTTGAGCTCGAGCACTACGCCGACGGGGACCTGGTCAACTGCGACTCCGAGGTGACGGTGCAGGAGAACGGGCCGCATACTATGTATATCTGGGGGCCGCCGAGGCCTGCTGCACGAGTTTGAGGCGAGGATACTCTCTCCATTCGGAGCGAGTCTCTATATATGATTATTGTCATGTGTTTCTATCGATCTTGCTTTCTGGACGCGCGATCATGTTTCGCGAACGTAGCTCTTTTCTCTTCTGCATGGGCCATAGCTAAGCAGTCTCTATATAGACATCCAACCCCTTCTGATGCACAAAGAATGTATTCCAGATTGTCAGCTTCTTGTCGGGATCCGTGAGCCGGAACTAAGAAAAAAATAGCATTCTCTTGGTCAGCACTTCTCTCCAGTACAAATGATTCAGAAGGACAAGACTGGAGAAGGGACGAATACTATAGTTGAACCAACCTTGAAGCGCTTCAAAAGGAGCGGTACCAACTTGTACATTTCGAGCAGACTGATGTTCTTCCCGATACACGTCCTCTTGCCACTCCCAAAGGCCATAAAACACCTCTCCATCTCGCCCCTTTCCTCGTCGTCGGCCTCGAGCCACCGCTCCGGTCGGTATGAGTCGACAGAGTACCGTCGGCCGTAGACGCGCTTGTCCCTGTGTATGACGGCGGGATTGCAGCCGACGATGGTGCCTTCGGGGAAGAAGTGGCCGCAGAGAGTGGCTCCTCCTTTGGGAACGATGCGTTCCAGGATGAACCCGACGGGCGTGTGGAGACGCAGGGCCTCTTTGATGACCGCGCCCAGATAAGGGAGGTGGCTTGTCTCGCGCCACTGCGGGAGGGGTGACAAGTTGGCCGAGTCCAGTTCAGCCATCAGCTTGGCCATGGTGGAGGGGTTGAGGAGTAGAAAATCTGTCCGGGGGGGGGGGGGGGGGGGGGGGGGGGGGGGGGGGGGGGGGGGGGGGGGGGGGGGGGGGGGGGACTGGTATCAGCTTTCACAGCGTCGCATAGTTTTTGGGACGGGAAAACACTCACGAAAGATGGCGCGCAAGGCGATGGCACTCGTGTCTGATCCTGCGTTGATGTTGCTCAGTGACCAGCCCAGCAGCTGCGACTGCGGAATCGAGCCATGATACTTGTCAAAGGCCGAGATGAACTTGGCCGTGAAGTCGGTGCGGTCCTTGAACTCCAGTGGCGTCTTTTTGCCATCTGGACGCAGTCGTGCCTTGTCCGCCTCCTCGATCCGCGGCTTCAAAAACTGCAAGACAAACTTCGAGATTCCCGTCTTGTTCTTTGAGAAAACTCCTCCCCATACCCGATTCTTGGCCAGCAGGTAGTCGAGCCAGGGCATCTGCCCGACCAATGCCACATACGTTCCAGCCTTGTTCAATGCTTTGATGATGCCGTCCACGTCACGGCCCTGCTCGAGGAAGCCGAACCGGTTGCTGAACGTCATCTCGCCAATGACATCGAACGCGTACCACTGGAGCCACTCGCCAAAATCGCACACCTTGCCCTTGTCCGCGTACAGCCGTGTGAGCTGCTCGACCAGCGTCCGCGACGTGCTGTCCACAAACGGTTCGTAATCAAGCAAGCTCGTCATGGCGTACGCATGCGCGATCGGTCTCTTTGCGATCTTATGCTGGTCCTCGTCGAGGATCATGAAGAGCGAGGTGACCGGTTTGCCGTTGACAAGAGGCTGCGCCACTCTGTAATAGTCGGACTGCTCGCGCTCTTTCTGTCATTCCTTTGACTCCAAGGAAACGCATGTCTCGATTCTATGGGACGGACAGCCTCACCTTCTGAAAGAGCCTCGATATACCGTAGATCTGTCTGATCTCCCTGGGATCGGCCACACTGACGCATTTCGGCCCTATGCGAACCAAGTCGCCATACTTGTCGTGCAGGGCCTGCGAAGTCAGTTCGAATCGGCCATTGTACACGGCCACGAAACGCCACAAATCGGTGAAAGACGCCGCAAAGGGTCCCGGGATGAATCTCAACCCTGGCCCGTATCTCTGATATAGGACGAACACGACAGCAGAGCAGAGCACTGCCACCCCGGCCACTGATGGGCCGACCCAAGAGATAGCCATGTCTACACAAGAAAAAAGAATCACAGACTTCAGGACCAGCTTTGTCAACAGTCCTGCGCTGTTATATCGGGGTAAGGTGGATCATCTCGCAGCATGGCCTGTAATAGACCAGGCGACCTGTGCGTAACCCCTGCATCACTCTGTGGAGATGAAGTATTGCCTACAAAGTCGGCAACATCCCATCTCCACACGTCCTCGGATGGTCCAAGGAATGTGTGGGGGAGCATTCGACGTACAGGTATAGGTACAGCAGGTGGTATACGAGCGCCAATGAGCAGTCAACGGCACTTGCCATCCCGCACAATTGCCGGGATCTTCACCGAAGGTCGGACAATGAGGATGCTGCTGATGCTACTGAGAACGGGAAGCTACTCTGCACTCCAACCTAACCATGTTGCTGATACACAGGTTGCCTTCGGAGGGAACATTAGTCCCTGCTTCGTTGGCCGACTAGCTCGATATAGAACAACCGGTCCATCCTGGCAGTGAGCACCAAATTGACTTTCCACTCGGCAGGTGATTCCATGGTGGACGAAACGGTGCCTCTAACTTGAAAGAAAGTTGCCGTATGCGTCAGTCGGCAACAGTAAGCAGCTCATGGCGTATCTGAATGGCCACCACGGCAATATTCTCCCTCGCAACTGTTCCCTCAACCACCTCCGACTTCATTCATAACACCCCCGTCCAGCTTCAACACCTCTCCATTCACATATCCGCATTTCGTCAGAAAGATGACCCCCATGGCCATCTCCTCGTCGCTGCCCGCCCGTCCCGCAGGTACCTCATGGCCTTTGTCCTTGACCTTTTCGGCCGGCATGTGGGCCTTGTTTCGCTCGTCGGACTCTTTCATTGTCATTTCCGACGGGAAGTAACCCGGCGCGATGCTGTTCACTCGAACACCGGTCTTTGCGAATTCTTTTGACATCATTCTTGATAGGTGCGCCGTGGCTGCCTTTGCCGCGTTGTATGAAAAATGTGCTTGGGAATGACGCATCAGACCGGACATGCTAGAGATGACGATGACGCTTGCATCGAGATGGCGCGGTGCACGTTGGAGCAGAGGCAAAAACGACACCACTGAGAAGAACACACTGATAACGTTGGTGTTATAGGTTGCTTTCCACTCCTCAATCTGTTCTTGCCACAGGTTTTCTTTCATCTGCTTGGCATCACTCGTGTCGGGGTATCCCTTGGGGCCAGAAACACCTGCAGCGGCAATGACCAGGGACAGATATTTCTCTTTGGATTCCAACTCAGAAGTCAACTTCTCTAGGGACTCCTTGGACGTGACATCGCATGGTCCAATAGGTATTATCTGTCCGTTCAGGGATGTGTTGGATGACTGTGGATTGTGCGTGCGGGCAGCATTGTCGAGTACTTCCTTTCTTCGTCCGGTGATGTACACTTTGGCTCCTGTGCCAGAGGATGTCAGGCATGGTGTCTGATCGTCGAATGTGACAACCTACCGTTTGCTGATAACGCTTGAGCGGCCATGAGGCCGATGCCAGTTCCTGGATATGATATGTTATTCTCTGGTTGAAATCTCTCAGTTTTGACTTCGGCTTTGCTTACCTCCACCTGTGATGAGACAGACATGGCCTTCGAGCGAGAAGAGGTTGGAGATGTGTAATTGTTCAGTCGATGCCATCACGAGATTCACGAGGGCTTTGAGGAGAGGTCTGGGTCGAGAGAAGTAGGAAACGTGCAGAGCAATGACTGGAAAGGGTAACAAAGTGATTTCCAATACCTTGACAGTTTAGACGAAGCTCTTGCAATTACTTGCAGCAAGAAAGGAAGAAGATCACAATCACCTCTGCGTCTTCTGGACTGATGCATTTCCATGACGGATTGTGACGTCACTTGACCCCTGCCAAGTTATAGCCCACTGGTGCCATCGGAGACTCGCCCCTGTCGCTCGTTCACTTGTTCAGCCTTGCGAAACGAGCTGAGCCAAAGGTGCACCGTTGCCTTGTGTTTGTGTAATCAGAAGTTCTGCCGGTGGCTTTGAGATGGTTGTTGACAGCTAACACAGCAAGCAGGCATGTATCAAGGCCCACCTTGCTTCATCTCTCTTGACCCGCACTTTAACATGTTCCAAGCGATTCTTGACCCACTTGATAACCAATACACCTGGCCAGCCCCCAGGACAAATTGCGCATAGGATCTTATGGAAAACCTGACGGTCAGTGCATTCCTAGATTCTCACATTTGAGGCATGCTCTCAAGCTGCCTTCGAGGATGGATTTTTTTTCATAGTGTTGGTGGAAGAATGGCACCTTGCACTCATGCGCTCAAAGTCTACTACTTTTCCTCTTCCTGTTCTCTGCCTGGAACTCATTCATCATCCTCCGTCCCTCTGCCTCAAACCCCTCGGCCTCGAAGGGTACGCCAAACTCCCAGACTCCGGCCTCGATGGCTTCTTTCAGGGGAACCTTTTCCCACATTGTAAACAGCCTCTTCTGAATGCGCAAGGCCTGTGGCCCATTCATCAGCAGTCGATCCACCCACTCCTCCACGGCCTTGTCCAACTCGTCGGCCTGTACGACCTTGTTGATTAGACCCCAAGATTCCGCCTCCGGGGCCGAGATGGTATCACCCAGGAACAGAAGCCTCCGGGCCCGCGCGGCGCCGATTTGGAGCGGCAGCATCGCCGATTCGATGGTGCTGGGCACGCCCCGTTGCACTTCAGGCATCCCGAAGCGGGCGTCCGACGTGGCGATGCGCAAGTCTGCGGACGCCAGCACTACGAGGCCGCCCCCGAGGGCATGCCCGTTGACACGAGCGATGACCGGGACAGGTAAATCCCGTAGCGCCTTGCAGGCCAGGTGGAGCTTGTTGATAAATGTCCGTCCGGCCGCGGCGTTGGGAAAGTCCTTCATCTCCGCGATGTCGGCGCCACCGATAAATGCTTGCTGGCCGACAGAACATGGTCCTCCGGTCACAATCACGCAGCGCAGGTCGGACCGTTGCGCAAGCGGAGGAACGGAAGATAGAAATGCATCGAGGACGGTCGTGTTCAAGCTATTGAGCCGTCTCGGGTTGGAGACGGTCACTGTTGCGACCGTGCCGTTCGGACGTTCAGAGAACGAGATTGCAACCGGGGGAGCATCACCGTCAGTTGGACCTGGCATTTTATGCTGGAGCTGCCGATTGACTCGGCTTGGGAGAATCGGCGGCGAGACAGACTCAGGTCGATCCAGAATCCTCCAAAATCCACACCTGGATATCTGCTTGTAAAGTAGATGAAGGTTGCGGACATATACCGGAGAAGATGTGGCACGTGCCCGGCGGAGCTCATGTTACGTCCTCGGCACTGAAAGAAATACCGAGTACAAGTCGGAGAATCAGAGAAAATTGGAGGTCTGCCGTTACTAGTTTGTCATAGGGAAAATCTTGTCCTAGTATTATTGACGGACGCATGTTTCATACGTCCAGATGGCAAGACACACTGTATTGTGTTGACTTCATATTCTGCCTACGTGCTGTCTGCCTCGAAAACGGCGCTGTTTCACCAAAAAGTCCTGCCAACCGCCAAAACACTCTGATATCGAGTATTTGGCGGCCAGACTAGCGATGCACATGCAATACTTATCCGAACTGTACTCTTGGATCTCAGTCCCTGTTGCCCCTTTGTTTCACGTTAATCCTCAAGCATCTTGCTGGGGCTGGGCGGTTTTCGTGGCAGTTAATCTGCATCCTTCGTGGGTTGGGATCTGTGGAAATCTGGCGATCATCCAGGATTTGTTAAGTCGTCTACCAACCCTGAAGGAGGGCTTGGTGAGTATGGCGAGACTCTAGAGGCTCTGACTGGCGCATATCCAACTCCAGGGGTTAATGACCTGAGCCAGTAGATGTATGTTGCCTTCTGCGATGGTGCCAACCAAAGTGAGATTGAGCAGCACTCGAGTAACACTAACTTGGTGGTTCGGGGGCCGCCCGGACGGCGATTCCGTCTTCGCAGCTTTGCCACGTCAAATAATGGATTGGTCATGGACCAGCGTACCCCTTGCGGAAATCTGATTGTGCGCAATACCAAAATGGCCGATCACGCGGCCAAAGCCAGGGCAGCCATCGCCCGGACTCCAGCCTCTGTCTTGTGACCTCCAATAAAGCCACTTGCATGAACAAAGACTGCGCCATTTTCAACGTCGTCGCCGAGGAGAGCATCGAGCTCTTCGTCTCTCACGCCACGCCATGGCTCTGGTAGGCTCTTTCGGTTTTCAAAGCTTGAGAAATCTTTACTCACAGCCTGGATCCTCCACTTGGAGCCAGGCTCCTCTTTCTCAGGGTATATCACGTAGAGAATCTTTTGGTCTTCAGGAATCTTGTTTTCATCCTCGATATTGTACAGGTGTTCTTTCCACGGTACACCGGCGCGTGGCAGGACCATGAGTTGACCAGAAGGGTGTTCTTTGCTTCGAGATTGAAAGGCTTCTTTGACAATTGCACGTGCAGGCAGCCACGCAGTAGCTGCCCCGTGGAGTTTGCGCAAGAAAGCGGTACCCATGAGCGTCGAAGCCTGAGTAAATCTGTAGTCCTCTTCGGCTTGGGGTTGATCTTCGGTGGAACGTGAGGGCGCACCAAGGGTCAGGGGATCTTCATGGTTCAGGTCATTGACCAAGCTTGCCAGGGTCACCCCACTGTCCTTGAACTTTTGCTCAATGCCAGCTTGTTCGAGTTGCGAACCATCATATTTAGATATACCATTGTCATTCGCATCGACCGCCTCGATGAAGTCATCGTACAGTTTTCTGTAAAGCAGGTCCACGTCAGGGTGGTCGATAGGAAGTTTGGTGTGTTGAGCAATGATGGCTTTGCCAAAATGCATATAGACTAGACCGGCAGAGGAGAGTTTTGTCTTGTGATCGGGAAAAGCCGTGCTGAAGGATCGTTGATGATGGTCATAGCGATTCTTGGAAGCGTCATATTCACCGCCAACATCGACGACTGTGTGGCAGGTCTCTAGAAGCGTAGGATCGCGAGTGCGGACGAGAGCAGCAGACGCATACTCGGGAAGGAGACGAAGCATGTAGACTGCTAGGGCTTCGTCCGCATGAAAGTGGCCATTGTGAGTGCCAATAATGAGGGGATCGGGCTTGATCCGCTTCGTCGCTGTTTCAGCAGCCATTTTGATCACCCTCCGAAGCATGCAAAATTCAGGGTTAAGTAGTGGGAGGGGTTAAGATCAATTTTCTCGAGGCTCTCAAAGGCACGAGCAATATTTTTGGGTTCGTCGCAGTCAAAAATCTGGGGGAACTGTTGACACGGATTATTGTTCCACCGATGCACGTGCGACATTAATCCGAACGGGCTGCGATGGCGCCTGTTTCCCTGTAACGCGACAATCTGTCCTCTTCAATTCCCTACTATTCTGCTACCACAGTTATTGCATCAGAGAATATACTCGTGCTCTTGTAGGTTTGTTACGGAGAGCCCTTATAGAAAGCCTCTTCGACCATCACATGCAAGTCCGAGGCGGGGATCAGCCGAGCCTGACTCTAACTGCGTTGGGCTTTACCGCCCAGGCCAGCAGCCCGGAATCCAGATCGCAGTGGGGTTCAATTAGTTAATAGAATATACCAACTGCGAGGACGGGCACCAATCTGAATCTTGCGGTGAGGACCTGCTCGAAAGAAACCCTAGGCCCAAGCAATAAAATCCCAAAACTGCAGAGCTTCCTCGTCTCTTCAAGGCAAAAAGCAGGGAAGAGAACGACTAGATCAAAGACCAACCAGATCCTGTTGCCAGCCGTCCTCCCTTGTCCTGTTTCTCGAAGTGGGCTCGCTCAACTCTTCTCATCGAATCTTGCTTGTTTGTGGTGCGTCCTTGCCTGGCTTGCTTCCTTGAAATCAAAGCCGCGTTGGTGCACGCGACATCCTCTTTCCACCTCGACTTCTTTTCCTCTCCCTCTCTTCTCTTCATATCAAATCTCTCAAACCAACCCGCGCTCCCTGGCCACCACCAAGAACAAAACAAAATCTGGTCTCTGTTGCGATCGGAATGACATGTGAAAGCCTGGACCTCGACTCAACCACGAATCCTTCAAGTCCTGTCTAGCAGAACGAGCAAGCCTTCCGAAACGCCAGAGCAGGCCGATCGATTTACCCTCAACGGACGCAAAGCACATGCCGCGGAAAGCGATATCCTGTTGACTGCGCCTCGACTTCTCACTGCGAACCGCCCAACCCCTCCTCACCTCTCATACCCACCGACCGACCGAATGTTCTTCCGCGCCCTTGCCGCCCTCCTCTTCCTCACGCTCATTATCGTACTGATTCCGCTCACCTTCGACGTTGGTGGACGCGATGCTGGTCTCGCTTTCTCCCTTTCTATCGCATCCTTCTACTTCTCTCTATCTTTACTGCGAATATCGACGCCGGATGAGCCTGGTTTCAGGAGGACCGTTGTAAACATCCTGCGAGGGGTACAGTTGCTTGTCCTGCCCATCTTGTGCATATGGGCCCTCGGGAGGTTCTCGGTCGATGCAGACAATAGCTCGGGCTGGGTAGAGAGAACATTCCGTACAAGCAAGGATTTTCTTAAACCTGGCCCATCACTTTGGCTGTCCATTGTTGGAAGAGAAGGTCTGTTGGAGAATGTCACACTCGGTGCTTGGGATATCATGTTGCGATGGTCGTCACCTATTTTCCAACTCCTCGAAGGCTTTTGCAGTCTCCTGGTCATACAAGCCATCGGACAACTATCTCGCTGGCTGGTCAACAGAAGTGAATGGAGCGATGCCTGGCTGCTTGCCCTGCTTGCTGCCTCGGCAGGCGTTGTGTCGAGTTCAGTCTATTTCCTCTGGCGAGTTCTGCAATTTCCGGACATTTCAAACCTCGATTCCACCCTGATTGGCATTGCCATCGCGTCGGCTATCTTCCTTTGCGCTTATGGAGTGGTTTCGGGTCGCGGCACAGCCACTGAATCATCTCTGCTTTTCGCATACATTGTCCTGTGCATATATCAGATCTTCACAGACTACAAGCCCAATGTCCCTCATCCAGAAGCTGGCATGGCAAGTTCGGCACCAGACTTCCCACCATTCCCACCGATCATCATGTCTTCTTACACGGCTCTCATGGTCGCACTGTCATCGCTTCCAGGGGCTCTGGTCAATGCGCTGGACTTTGTTGCCGCAGCTTTCAAAGCGGTTACGCCATCGGTGCTAATCTCTCTTGGGTATCGACTCTTCGTCTTTTATTCTTCCACACGCATCATTCCAGCAATCAATGAAAGCGGTGCCGGCGGTCTAAGTGTAGAGCCTTCTCTAGAAGACTCCAATGCGGCGAACCAATTCCTCGCCTTCCTCTCTTGGTTCTCACCCAGCATTCTCATCGCAGTCTACACCAGCCTTCTCATGCAGCACTTTGCCACAAGCATGGGCGGCTACGCACCAGGTCTTACGGAAACAATCGGTGCTTGGTGGAGTGGCAACGGCCAACCAGTGATGAATGGCAACTTATGGAAGTGGGTCAACTTGGTAGGGACTATGTCCCTTTATGCTATCGAGTTGTGGTTGGGCAAAGAAGACGACATGAACGGTGATCACTGGAAGGTTGACTGAGCGAGAGAGAGGGCAGACTTCGATCGATGACGCAAGATCCGATACGAGGCTTTGAGCACAGCTGTGACAGTAATATCCAAAGGCGAATCTTGTCAGGTGAAGCTTCTACAAGATATTCAGGACGCAGGGTTTCAGCTGTAACGAGTGGTGAGCCAGATCACCCACAAATTTCGCATTGATATATCGATGGCATGCTACGAATAGCAAATTTGCTGGCCACGTTATCGGGCTCTCTGGGAAAGTACAAGCTAAAAACGGATGAATTTCTTCCTGCAACACGACGACAACTACACCCCTGGACGAGAAATCAAGATTGCGAGGATTTCCCATCGAGGAGCCGTTGAGGTTGCGGATCACACTATGAGCACGGGTATTCTTGAGGCGGCATGGTTTTCATGCAAGCGGAAGAAGTGTAAGACCACAACGATAGCAGGAGCACTCAAGGACGAAACAGAACCTGGGGGAACCAACACCGTATCAAGGAAATGGGAACATGGGAAAGTCAGCCTTAAGGAAAAGGGAGAATAGCCATCCTCCTAGGCCGAGCAAGATGCCACGATGCTCTGATGCTCTGATATCGGAACCGGGGACAGAGGTGGAATGGGAATGGGCCGATTGGATGACGGACGGGTTGACGGGTTGAGAATAGTTACAGCGATTCATCCCCCTGCATAATCTACCATATGAACCATATCGAATAAGGTCATGAAATGAAACCTGTCTCGCTCCAACCAGCGGTCAGTCACATCGGTCGAGGATCGAGGATCGAGATGAATAGACGGAGAAGGAGACACAGAGTGAGAGAGGTTCAAGTTGCGTGACATTTTGACTGCAGCTCCATAAAAAGCAATACACAAGTTGTTGTGGCTAGAGACTCGCATCCCCCCATCCGTACATTGAGGTTGTTACCTATGTAGATGATGGTTTTTCTTTTTTTTGGTGTAACCCTCTTGATTGTCTGGCTTTTTTTGGGGCAATTGCTTTTTCTTTTTGGGTTCAGCGCATTTTCTTTCCAGCCTACCCAGGTTCCGTAGCTGATGACAAAAAGACGACGGCGATAGCGTACATAGAACTTGAACAGTGTTGATTAGCTCCCGGAGAGGTCCGCAGTTACAAGTAAGCCTTACACAAACACAAAGAGGGAAAAGGATCCCCGTCAAGTCAGGTTCTGTAGAGACTGTTGAGGACTTCATGTCGCCGTTGCGCTTCGCTTCGGTGGCAGCCAAAGTTTCGTACTCGGTGCATCAAAGGGACGATGGAGGTGTAATCTGATCCTGGCTGATTGGAAGGCCGATCAGCGGAGTGAGTGACACAAAGGCTTCCGGTCCACCCATGTATCGTAGTGTTGTTGGTGCCGTTACCACTTCTCGCTTTCCACAAATCTTTCTCGTTGTATCGCGCCGGCCGTTCACCTTCGAGTCGGCACAGGACACCCTCTGTGCTTGATCACATGCATCATAACATTTCCATTCGCGAGATACAACGCGGCGATGCACATCATCTCCGAATCGGAATTCCAGCCTTCTGCGCGGGTGGACTGACACTGCCCTCCAGAATGTTGTCCTTCCCCTGTTGTTGATTGCCGTCACGTTCATCCATGCTGGCACTTCGAGCAAGGAAACTACTCTCCTTCACTGGGCTCCTGCTCGTCGCACCCGGCAAACCACCGCCGGGGATCCCATTAATACTGCCCCGGTGGATTCCACCTGGTCCTCCACCGCCAACAGGGGGAAGTTGTGCAGAATGGCCAAGACTATCCGGGGAAGTCGCAAGGGCGCCAGGATTTCCGGGGGCAATGGAGTCGGAGCGTGAAATGGTATGATTGAGGGGAGACATGTGTGGGATCTCCTCGGCCTTCGGGTGCTCCGTACCAATTGTAGTGACACCTGTGTCTGAGGCCTTGCCCGCCTTGGAAAGCGCGTAGTCACCAGAGTCGAAGTATTTACGTTCCTGCAACAGGCTCAATCAGAACATTGTTCTATCGCTTAGACATCGGACAGAGGATGGGTTACCTTCAACTTGTTCTGCAGTAGGTCCTTCTTGTTTGGAAGTTTGCCATACAGTCGGAACAGACGTTGCTCATCTGCTGACAGTTTCTAGTGGAGATACATAGTCAGTTTCAGCAGTCTCAAAAGATCTGGATTGAGTCCGGTGTGCCCTACGCTAATGTCAATCTTGTTTTTCTGGTGTGGATTCATGATTGCAAGTCCTCCGGCGGGTGTTGGTCCTTATATTATTCCCGACTGAGAAGGATATTGGGGATTGGTACTTGTATCTGGTGGAAAGGGAGCAAGCCCTGCCGAGGCAAGTGCCAACAGGAAGGTCCGATCGCTCAGATTGTTGATTTGACTGTCGAAAAGAATTGGTGGGTGACTGAATTTGAGAGCAAATATTTGAGGGAGGGAGGACGAAACAAGGTCTCGGGGAGAGATAACGTCGGTGGTAGCAGTCTCGTGAGGTTTTGTGATTGACTAAGAGGTATGATTCCGGAGGGGTACAAGATCACGCTCCAAGTACCCTCGTTGTCGTTTCAGCGGAGAAGAATGCCAGGCAATGTTATGGTCGAGCTGATGGCTGATGCTTCCGTGGACTTGTATGAGAAAACAAGTAGGTAGGGGAAGGGGTGCAGATAAAGTGTCGCAGGTGTGCCAATGGAGGAGACTGCGATTGGGCTTCGGTTGGTGAGAAGAAGAGAAGGTAACTAGTAGGTTCTTTGAGGGTGTGAAGGTGGGGTTCGGTGGGAAAGTCGCCGTGGACGTAGATAGAGGAGGGGGATTCGTCTGGGGAAAGGCGGAAACAGTTTGGCCAACTCGATACGGGTCGGTGGGTTGGGTTTTGATTTGGCAGTAGTTGTGCTGACGGGGATGGAAGTGTAAGAGGGAGGATAGTGAGCACTGGCAGGGTGCGCATATGGTTGTCGGTAGGGATGATGAAATACCACCGCCAATCAGGTTGGCTTGGCGGTTTTGGGCTCAATCTGGACTAGCGGGCTGTCCAGTGTGCCAAGAGCTCGCGTACTAAGATTTCCCCGAAGTAGCCCCACTTCTCCCCGAGCCGCGATATCAGCACGTGACTGAAAACCCCCGTCACATGGATTTTTCATGTGCACAACTAGTTTTCAAGATATAATACCCACTGACCAACCCTGGAACTTATATGACTGAAGCAGCCTAAGCCATGTCAAACAGCCAATACACCTTTGTCGTTGAGCATCTCGACCCAGAACTCGGACCCTGGTCCGCCCTGGAATACAAGGCCATTGCGAAAGAATCAGGACAAGCCGGATGCCGTTTCATCCTGTCTTCCCTACCCGAGTCCTTACTCAAATCAGAGGATTTGAAGGATCTGGTAGCATTGGGTGCAGGGGCTGAGTCCGAAAGCATCGAGACCTCCTTAGCCCACAAAAAGGACAAGATTTGCCTGCTTGATCCGGCGGCTAAACAGGAACTGCATCCTACCGATGCTGCCGTTTTCGAGATCTTTTTGTTTGGTGGTATATTAGGTGCGTAGACTTGTCCAAGACGCTGGCGGCCCTTGTCACTAATCAATAATTCTAGGAGATGATCCCCCGCGAGGTAACTAGCCGCCTGTTACCCTTCTGTGGACAGGTATCTAATCATCATAGACCGCACCAGCGAGTTGCGAAAAAAGGGCTTTTCGGGCCGTCGCTTAGGTCCTGTACAGATGACTACAGATACAGCCGTCAGGGTCACTCGTACGGTTATCCTTGGCCAAAGTAGGGAGAGAATACACTCGCATAGGGATTTCGTGTTGACACTTTACGACAGCGCCTCTGGATAAGATCCCCTATGTCGACTTTCCGGAGCTAAAGGTGGATGAACACGAGTCCACAGAGATGCCTTTCCGATATGTCGCCGACGATACTGGCAAACCGATCATGCCCGAAGTTAGCATTGAGAACTATAGTTATCGGGGTTGTGGCTAATGGTTTGCAGGGGATGATAGAGCTCATCAAGGCCGATGCGGACAAAGCCTTCGACAATCTCGAGTTTGCGGACGAAGTGACTGGCCTCGACCAGCTAGAAGTCAGACCTTGAGATCGTGTGCCGGCATTTCACATCGACTAAGGCCTTAAAGTGTTCTTGTTCGGGTTCTCGACAGAGACTCAACACCTCAGTAACTCTTCAAGGAGCGAGGAACCCCACGTTTTACGGCCTTGACGACGGTCGAAGAGCTTTTAGAGAGCAGCTGTCCGTGCTTCCAGATGGTCAGGATCGTCTTGCTGCTCCCGTCAACACTATACACACACACGAGGGGCTCCCATGCAAGGGTGTGATTCTGACGGTCGTCCACAAATTCGATAACGAGCAACCTCCTCTGCAGTATGGTCTTCTTTTGAACTCTTGAAAAATTAACAAGCGCCCACCTGCGCCAGAGGATCAAGCGGCTGAAGAGGGTGGAACCGAGGCGTTCTCCGTGGAGGAGCGGAGGAACACGGATCAACACGCCAACTTTTTGCGAGGTCCAACCCAGAACACAATTTACCTCCCACGTAACGCACAAAATTTGGACTTCTGAATCTTGTGCATTATAGACGCAAGTCTCCGGTAGTCTGTCATTTCGACCAAGATGATTGGGTGCCATTGTCCCGCTCGAAGGGATTATTTTGCCACGTCTGATGCGTGAATGCCACAATCGCATGGTGATTCCGTACAGCGAAGACTGCCAGCATCGATGATGGTCTCAACAGCCTAACTTGAATATCTTGTCCAGCACGGGGTCCTGAAGCGAAGATATATGGACGTAGCGTTTGCTGAAGAGCATAGCGACGTCTTCATATTGTCTGTAGCCAAGCCTTCGAGCCAGATTTCCGAATCTAACAGAAAACCATTGAATATCCACCTGCTCCGAAGTGTAGAGGATCCAAGCATTGGACTTCTTTCGAAGGACATGGGTCACAGATAGCTGCTCCACATAGGCCCCTATCCCGTAGACCCACAACAGGTCCAACGCACTCGGATGGGACTCGTCGATCTTGTCGCTCTCAAAATCAAGCTTGAGCACGCATCTGAGGAGCATAATGTGCCAAACCTGTATCGTGGAGACCCAAGATTGCGCCAGGAGCAAGGCTTCTAGACCGAAGGCCATGACCAGATGCAGTGCTAGACAAAGACACATGCCAACAGACGCATGATGAACAGCCGTCGGTGTTGAAATAGCCTGGCAGGGGTCGACAGCATTCGTCTGTTCTGTTAGGCTACACCAGTAGTCCATGATCCGAGCTCTGACGGCTTGTCGCCGAAGATAAGACCAGCGGAACAGCCCGTTGAGTTGCCTCGGGTCGTCAACAGCCATTGTCTTTTTGAGATTTTCGACCTCCACCAGTTCACGCAGAGCCTTGAAGATGCCGGGAAAGTCATTCGCACTCGGACAAGCTGAGCACCATGTAGTGGGATCCGTATCCAACTGGCTTGATCTTTTGGGACCAGTCACCAAATCGGCCATACGTTGAGGAACGGTATCCTCCCACGGCCATGCAGGGTCCCAGGTCGAAGAATCGAGAAAGCTGCGCGTACCCGTAGCCGCAGCTACCCTAACAGCAAGATAGACCATGATCTCTTTCATGATCCAAGAAAGCCCTCCGACCCCTCCCACAGACATAATCATCTGCTTCAGTCCATTTAGGTGTAAAAAGAGTGTGTCGAGGCGGGACCGGTACATCGCCGCGGAGCACAACAACAGGACGGTCTGCACTGCGACCTCGAGATTGTCGTCTGCATGTGAACCCGATACTACAATTGGCTGCAGTGCATGAATTGACCGAGTTTCATGCTCAAGCGCATAATCGTGATATAATTCTTTTTTGTGAGGATGCAGACGCGCAAATGCCGACCAGCAGTAAGCAAGGAGGGCATGCATTACCGCTTCGTGGCTCATGTACGATTTGTAGACTCCGTTTTGCGCAGGCACTAGAAATCTGGCGGCATTAGGAGACGCCACTTCATCTGCCCATATCGTCCTCAGAGATACTGGTTGAATTGTTGTTATCACACTATGCCTCAAGGCGGATAGAGGGATAGGCGTCGCAGAAAATGGGTCGCTGTTGCCTCCCTGGAGAAGTATTGATAATGACCCAACCTTGCTGGCGGACGAAACCCCACTGGCTCTGGTCAACCGCGCACGATGCTGCGTCCGGAGACGCCTCTTGGTGACCTTTGGGTGGAGACGTCCTTGATCATCATCTTGATCATATATGTCTTCTGCCTGGTTGGTTTCTGATGGTATCTTCCTCCGCGGTGAAGGGGGTTCCTGCCTGATCACCCCGAGTTCTTTACCAATACGCAAGCCTGGATTGATCTTATTTGCCCGCTCGTAACTTGACGACGACGCATTCCGTCCACGTGGGCTTTGCGAGGCACTCTCGGGAGATTCAAGCAATGATGAGGCCTGCTCTACTCGTTTCTCGATAGAATATTGCTGTGCTCGAACCGCAATGATTGTCTTCTGTTCGTAGTCGGGCGTTGTCCTGAAATTCGTGGGAGTTTTCGTATCGAACCAAAGAATTTCCGGAGCAAAACTCGAACTTTTTTTCGACTGCATTCTGCATCAGGCCTCGTTGATTTGCTTACATCTCGATTGTTGGGGCATCAACACCATCCAGGGGCTTCAGGAGCGCGACGAGACGACCGGCCTTGACTCAGGACTGAGGAGCTGCGAACTCCAGGCTGGCAAACCTGAATTCGGGTTGAGACGCAGAAGCGAGGTCAAGGAGTATTGTGAACAAAAACTCCCTGGAATGAGTGTTGACCTAGTCTATAAGTCTGGTTTGCGCTGCTGTCCCTGTTCATGCTGCTATTGGCGAGGTAAGTGTCTGAAGTGGCATAACTTGTTAGCAATGAAAAATACGGAGTAGTTAGTCAACTTGCAGGCAATTTATCTCGCTCGTAGAACTATTGTCAAGACCTGCATCAGTTGAGCCCAAGGCTTGTGGGATTCGCAAACGGCAGGGAGTCGGATCCACACCATGGACGTATCAGATGCTACTGTACAGAGTACAAATCTAGCAGTCACATCGTGATAGCTGCCTAGCGGAATGGGCAGATCAGAGACTGGAGTGCTTAATGCCGGTTGCCGATACATAACAGGGACGGAGATTGGCGGTGTTATGGTTGCAGGAGTCACAACTGGTCTCCAACACCTTATACCTGCGGTTTCGGCAACCTGTGTGCCGGGACACGAAGCCAGTCGAGGCTTGATCGGTCGTGGACTTGACCAAGACGTTGGAGTGCAGAAGGTGTCTTTCGGTGGTTGTGGGTGAGCCGTGGTGAGAGAGTGGAAGAGTTAGCAGCTGGATTCATGGCGTTGTGCTATAAGACGGGGTTTCCTCCGCCGTACTACTCAGCGTCTTGGCATACGTCGACGCACAGAGCATTATTTCTGCAATTGCGGGGGCCTCCCCGTGCCTACGCCGCACCCAGAGTTTGGTGCCGCGAACTTTTTTTTGCCTGGGAGCCTCCCACTGCCTTGTTGGGTTGGACGGGTTTTGAAGAAACGATGTGACTTCCACCTCAACCTGCAACAGACTTGTCTCACATCCTCCAAACCAGGCAGACTTTTTCCAGTCCAACAACTCCTCACTCTATTTGTAGCGCAACCGCCAAAATGGTGGAAAAGGTCTACGTGACGTACAATGAGGTTTGTTCCAACCTTCCACCAGTCAACGGCATGCGGCCGATGCCTGCAGCCAGTATCTTGTCGCATATAGACTCACGCAAGCGATCAGATCCACAAACTATGCCAGACGTCGGCCGAGAAGATTCTCAATGACTTCCAGCCTAATCTCATGGTTGCCATTGGAGGCGGCGGCTATGTACCAGCGAGAATCCTAAGGTCGGTCAACACTTGAGTGTTCCAATAGGGATCTGAACAACGACTAACAATATGGACAATCAGATCATTCCTCAAGCGGCCCGGTGCTCCTAATATCCCCATTCAAGCCATCGGCCTCTCGCTCTATGAACAACTTTCTGGGACAGACCCCGTCGAAGCGCCCGGTACAAAAGTTACGCGGACACAATGGCTTGATCTATCCTCGCTCGAGATGAAGAACCTGATTGGCAAAAACGTCCTGATCGTTGACGAGGTAGATGATACGCGCACCACACTCGAATATGCGGTGAAGGAGCTGGAAAAGGACGTGGAATTGGCCAGACAACAACAAGGAAGAACCGAGAGGACAAAATTCTCCATATTTGTCCTGCATAACAAGGACAAGGAGAAGAAGGGACACCTTCCAGAAGACATGCTCAAAGAAAATCGGTATCTGGCGGCGGTGACTGTGCCCGATGTGTGGATCTGTTATCCCTGGGAGGCGACTGACATTGACGAGCACGACCAACTCGCCCAAAACCACGGCGTCAACTGAGTCGATCTATTGGCATGTTTTTTTTTGGGTTTCCGTTACAAGTAGAGGCTAGGGTGATATTCGCAAGAGCTGCAATAGAGGAGATCCTATCGCGCACATGGTGATGGTGTCACATCTTCAATCCCAACGAATCTTCCTTGCGTCCAAGTTTTTCCTCGCCTCGTCCAGTTGTCCCATAAGCTCGGTGTAGGCTTCCTTTGTGTCGTTGAATCGGAGAACGCCCAGACCCAGCCGTCCCAGCAGATATGCGCCCAGAGTAATGAGGGCCCAGCAGGGGAGCACTGGAATGATTTCCACTTGAATTTTGGTTGGCAGGATAGAAGGCACGGGCGAATCCTCAGTCAGGAGAGGAAGGGCAAGTAAAAGGTAGGTCTGTTTTGAGAATTAAAAAGTGCTCAGGGGTCAAGCTGTGGAAGGTCAACGCAGAGGCACATACTGAGGAGATCAACAAGGCAAATGAAATTGTTTGCGCAGCGCGTCCCATGGTTGGAAGAAGAGCGCTTGTGCGAAGGAGGTTTGTCTGGTGTTATTCTGTGGGGGATGCTGAGTAGCTCTGACTTGTATTTCCACGCGTATAACTTTCTAGAGCGGATGAATCGTTGTATGTCGTCGATAGCGGCGCTTGAAAAGGACAGTCAGGACAAGTGTACGAGACCGCGTCCTTGTCGCAATAGCCTGCCGTGCCCGTCCCGTAATACCTTGGCAGCCATACCCACCTTGACACTGACCCCCTACCACGCCGCTCTTAAACCTCCCTGCTCCACCCTTGCCTGAGATCTCCAGTCCGAACCATGTAATGCCGAATTTGGTAAATTTGGCGCTCATGTGGACCCCAGAAGTAGGTCACGATTCAACCCATCCTCGCCACCAACAAGGCTCTCTTCTGAAATATGTCGGCAGAGTGATGCCACGTCTTTAAGCGGTAGACTTAGTGAAGCCAAACACTAGCCTTGAGGAGCAGCGGCTGTCGCAACTTGTGAAATACCTACACTGTCCGCTGCTCATAGAGCGGCATCATTCTCATCCAAAAGAGGTTGAGGTTCTCTTGGCGCTCAGCCTTCTGCTTCAGCCTCCAACATTGGCTCTACGAGACCTCACTCTTTTCTACGAACATTCATTCGGCACTTACATACCACTAGTGTATCGGAAAAGTGTGCCTTTCCGGAGAAGTCGTTCTCAATGTGGCTCCGTCCAACGCTATCCATACTCTTTTGAAGTCAAAGATGACGCTCTGATCCCCGATGAACGTTTGCATGGTACTCGTCTGAGAATACAGGGAAACGAGAGCGGTAGTCTGCTGGTGCGGTCGATGTAAGCATGGCGCTAGCAAAGCTCTACGCGGCCTGCACCTGGCTTGCAGATGCGCTAGAGCAACATCGGATCGACGACCAGACTCTAAGTCGCACACACTCAGCCGTGGTCTCGGGTTTGAGATCCGTGAACCCAGGGGCAGGCGAAGAGAAACATAACGTCTCGGCTCTCATGCCTCCTCTTATCAGTCATGTGTATGAAGTGATTCAGAAAGAACGACCCGATGGCTTCAAGACTGCAATTCTTAGCACTCTTGCAGATGCGACGCGCGAAGTACCATTTTGGCGACCTCTATTTGGTCTCGAGGCCAAACCCAATCGTGATATCAACGAGACCCAAGCGGGAGGAGCGTCTCCACCTGACTGCATCGTTGAAGTTGCAAGGCGGGTGGTCTCTGAAACAGCACAAACATCAACAAGCGAGCAAACAAGATCAGCACTCCGAATCATCGCCAATTGTTGCGCAGACAATAATACCAATCGATCCATCATCATCGAACGTGGTGGCATCGAAGCACTGCTAGAAATGATCAGGCAGGGGCGAGAATGCGATCTTGTCGTTCCCACTCTCTACAACATCTGTGTTGACTACGATGAGCCCGCGAGAGATGCAGCAGGACGGCCATTAATCTCCCTTCAGGGGAAGACAGCAAAAGGCAACGAAGCAGACTTGAACGCGGCCGCCAACCGCGCGGAGCAGAGACTCGGCACATACTGGTCGCCGCATGCGAGACTGACGTCCTTTGAAATTTTGCTCAAGGCCAAAGATTCTGAACAGGTTTCCACAGACACTCTGGCCGATCTCATCGAAATGGCTAGCCGGATCGCACTCTATGAAACGCGCGATTTCGTTCACAATATTGATGGAGATGGGCCGGGTGGGACATTTGAGGTCGATACAACCGCAGTCATTGTTCACGCGTTATTGACGCATGGCTTCGAGCTCGCGCAAGAGGACATAGACTGCCGAGCTTCGATGTGTCAAGCCGTTCTCAACCTTCTCCCACAACCGGACTCTCGCAATATCATTGCAGGGGACCCCCGCCTGGTCTGGAACCTGATCCACTTACCTCTGGCGACGGACGGCTTAGAGTCTGAGACTGACGATGCTAATGAGGACGAACAAGGACTGGCTCCATACCGAGAAGCGATTCTCAAAACCACTTACGCTGTCACCGCGGTGGGACCGTATCATCAAATGTCTGGATGCGAGTCACCACTCATCCAAACCTGCATTACCACCCTTGAAACGGGAGGACCGCGCGACCTCCTAGCCAGCATTTGCGTGCTCCTAACCAACAGCGTCATCACCAAAGAACGGGCCGAGAAACTTGTCAAGGCCGCACCCAAACTTCCCAGTTTCTTGTCCGAGTGGCTGGTCAAGACCACCGCCTCAGCAAGCCTTCTTCCCGCTCTCAACCTTGCCGTGCGGCTCGCCCTGTGCCGCGAGGGACAAGTTGCATTTCACCAAGTCAACATGGTGTCAGCCATGGCCGTGCTCCTTGCCTCGCCTCCAAGCCAAGTGGATTCTCTCGGACTCGAAATACAGAGCGACGCGGTGGTCGTAGTGAGGTTGATGATCAAGGGACGCATGGAATATCTCTCTGACTTGGTATCTACGAGAGCCGACGGATCACGCACATCCATCATGGCCCTGATATTTTCTCTGTTCGAAGAGACCAGCCACGCGCGGACCAAGACCGAGATAGGGAGACTGTCGATTGAAATCCTCCGCACACTACTTTCGTCATCGACTTCAGCCGTCACCGCCGACACAGACAGAACAAGCCGGGTACGTGAAGATGACAACAAGGCCGAATCACTCTTCCAGTCCATCTTTCCGGCGCAGCACTTGCCACCCTCGCCATCACCCACAACAACCACGGCAACGCCAGACTCAAACTCAAACTCGCCGCCGAGAACAACAATCGCTGACACGATATCTTGGATACTGACACAGTCAGCGTTAAGCCCGCCGCCCGACGATCCACAACATTCATCATCACCAACCCAAAACGCATCATCCCTCCAGCAGACCGAAGGGGAAGCCTGGTTCGGGCTCGCGCTCCTCGCGGCTTTCCCCTCGACACACGGGTCCATCAGAGCGGCCCTGGCGCGGGACGACTTTCGCCTGTTGACGAGACTGCGCGAGATCGCTTCTGCCTCTGCCTCTGCCACTGCACGGTCCTCTGGCGCCGAGTCATCGCCACTACTAAAAGAAGGGAGAAACGACGAAAGGGCCGTCATCGCCGCCGCTGTCGCCGAAGAGCAAGAATCAGCTAGCAGCCGAGGACGCGGACCTAAGAGCAGGCACGGATGGGATCCGAGGTATGAGAACATCAAGGTCCTCGTGGCGAGGATCGTTCAATCACAATTCCAACCATTGAGCGCGGGCACGAACCCTCCAGGGCCAAAGCCACCATCATCACCAGAAGCCATGGAAGTATCCGCGAGAGAACCCAAACCCGAACCCGAACCAGACACCCACGTCCGCGTCCGCGCCGTTCTCGAAGCCACAGCTACAGAACTCGGTCTAGCCTAGGTCGTAATTTGGTGTGATTTGGACCACAGGAGGTTCCCTCCCTCGATGACTATGTTCTTCCTTCATCGTCTATGCAGATTCCACGAAGTACAGATTTTTACTATCGACCATGTTTTGGTGGGTAGATGAGTAGCTAGCTAGCTAGGTAGCTACCAGATCAAAGAATCCGATATTTACCTCCCTTCTATCAAGTCCTCGCGTTATACTCCAGTAAATACCCCCGCGTGCGTGTGCGCAATATCCCCAACATGGTGTGGAAGATATGAACGCGGAAGAAAACAAATAAGGAGGAAAACCCGGGAGATCGTCGTACTGTCTGCGAGTCGGCAATCAGGCATCAAATTCTAGTCCAACCTCAATATGTGCCGTTCAATTTCCATGACCTGCTAGTTGAAGTCCCACCTATCGTTTGGAGCTGTATCTCCGGAGCTCTCGTCGGAGCGATGGACAGCGGGCTGCGGCGCTGATATCTGAACGGTGTCGTTGCCTTGCTGGTACATGGTAAAGGTTTGTGCTGGCATTGATGACTGTACATCTTGAGGTTGCACTAGCAAAAGATCCCCGGCTGCTCGTCGCTCTCGGGCTTTGCGGCAGTGCTTGGTCTGGTGCCTTGGGAGAGATTAGCATATGCTCCACAGCCCACGACCAAGGGTGCTGTCCAGATCGGAGGACTTAAGGAGGAGGTGATCGCCATTGTATGAAATGCTGCAGCGCGGCACCGAGATCGAGACACAGAACTCACCTGTTTCTGAGATCCGACCGATTGAACAGCTTGTGACAATCGCCACACATGTAGTCCGTGTAGTGCTGTGAGACGTCCACAAATTAGTTCTATAGTGCAACTTCTACCACCTGCGAGATCTCAGCTTGTCGAAGGTGTTGTGCACATACCGACTTGATGTGCCGGGACAGGCAACCCGCAAACGCATATGTCTTGCCACAGCCCTCCTTGGGACACTTTCTCTTCTGGCGATTCTCGTTGTGAACATTGAGGTGTCGGCGGTAGTTCGAGGCCTTGGGGAACTCTTTGGTGCAGATTTGGCACACGTATGGTCCAGCCCCGTGCATTTTCATGTGCGTGGCGAGACTTCCCGCTCTTGTAAAGGTCTTTTGACACGTCGCGCAACTATATTGACCATCGTGCTCGCGCTTGTGTTCCTGGTGGAGACCTTTGCTCTTGATCTTCTGCGGATCCGGCGACGTCGGGTCGATCTTCCGGTCAAGCTGACAGTCTAATTGTACAGGAAATCCTGGTTGTTGCATTGAGTTAGGATGTTGTCCTCCATGAACTTGATAGACAAGACAAGATACAACAACGCCCGTGCAACAGTGTAAGCATCCTCACAAACGAGACTCACCTGAAACACCCGCGGAGTAATTGTGTCCCCCTATCTCCTCCCATAATGCTAGAGGGCTCGCCTGCGAAGGGTGGCTGGTCGACGTGCACACTGGAGACCAAGGTTCTAAGGTCGAAGGGGTGTGAGAGATTTCAAGCCTCGTTGTTGCATCCTGCAATATGGTATCCTCGACAGATTGAGAGCACACTTGCCACGGCGTGGGAAAAGAGCAGCAAAAGTCGGAGTTGGGGGAGTAGAAGTCCCCAAGCCCATCGCTGTCTGTGCCGAAGGAGTCTTCGACGTAATGTTCTTGACCTGGAATGGAGACATGAGAACGAGCAAGCGAAGGTTCTGAGCTGTCACTGTGGACGCCTGCGGAGGACGAATCGAGGTACGAGGGAATGTCGCCCGGCACCTCAGACGGCACGAGAGCTGGATGAAATGAAGAGTAGTCGTGATTGACAAAAGCTGCATCGAGCATATCCATGGTGAAGACAACACACACGTCCACAAGAAGCGTCTGGAGAGAGATCCTCGCTTTGGCACAGCCGCTGCCGGAATGGCAGACGATTTTAGATTGCGTTCTGCCGGCTAAGTCCATGGCAGTGTCCATTACCCTGCCTTGCATTTCAAAAGCCGACCACGTCCGTTTCCCATCAGCATTGTACCACAGCATATGCGGCCTGAACAGCCGCTCAGGCTTTTTCTGAGATTCCGGGAGTTGGACACAGCTTTCTATCTAGCGTCCTGGACAATGGGATGGTCTGTGCAGGACAAGATTTAGCCCAGGGTAGCAGCTGCAGAGCCATAGCCTTCGAGCTCCAATGAAACCGACACAATCCTGTGAGGGCTACCCCGTTCAAAGCCCGACAGTGGCCTAAACTCTCAATCACGCAGGCCCCTTCCAACGTCGACAGTGGAGAACTATGCTGCTTAGACTTTGGAGGAAAGAATGGTTCGCCATTCAGCAGCGACCATTTTCTCCATTGCTGAAACTAAGGTCTCCAGTCAGGGAGTATGTGAGGTGGCTTGTCTCCCTGAGGGTGTTGATGATCGGCACAACGGGGACTCCGCGCAACTAGTGTACCCTTTTGGTGAGATGTGTCAGGAGGTCAGTCCTTCTTCTGCCCAGCGACCATGGCGGTCAGCCCGTCGACTTGTTCACTCAATTTCATGACCAAAGCAATCAATTCTGCATTATCGGCGGTGTGCAAGGCAGATTTGGTGGTGGACGCAGCCATATCAGGTGTGACTGTTGGAGATGTCTCATTAAGCGCTCGCCGCGTCGTTGGTGACTTGAGAAAATCTCGAGCCCCTTCAAGACTCAGCCGGCCCGCGCTGAGTGGCCTGGTCGAGAAGTGGGGGGCTCGGGAAAGTGTGGGATGGGAGCGAGAAATCATGTTCCTAGAGTTCTCGTATGCCCAGATCAGCGCCACGAAGGGGATGTGAGTGGCTTTTAGGACAAAGATTCGAATTCGACGAACTTCCTCTGAGGGTAGGATCAGCCGAAGTGGCCGCAGCACAACCAGGGGGAATAGATTGAGTGGAGGCATGAAGTAGGTGAGTCGGCGGGAAGTGCTGCTCTCGAGGACATAGATCGAATACTGAAAGAGATATTCCTCTCTCGCATGGGCCATGACCTGTTCACAAGAAACCCATGAGCATTGAGCATGGGCGCTTCTTTAGTTCCGGATCCCCGGGGCGCTTAAACGGGCTGGAAGGATGGCCGCGGCCGAGGTTTTTCAAGCCACCATCACCATAACGTACCTCTGTCAGTGAATTGGATACCAGGGACACCAGTGATGTGATGAGGAGGATGTTGGTCAAACAGACAAAAATCAACCTGCAGAGATCATGGGAGTCAGCCTTGGGTTCCATCCAGTAATAAGGGTGCCGCTCTTCATTCATTCGGAATACAGCCGCCCCTATCAACTATGCTAGAGCCCCGGTCCAATGCACGAGACCATCGAGATGGCCTGCAGATCATGTGGCAGCCGGTGTGGAGATGTCTTGCATACATTAGAGTATAGCCAAACAATGGCGAGATCTGGGACAGTCAATCAACAGCTTCAACCGTCAGATTTCCGCCCGGCGTTGACATACCTTGACAGCCATGTCAAATCCAAGATAACTTGATCTGTTCCCCTAATCAGTGACGTTTCGGAAGTCGACTGCTGCTTCATACCCAAAGAACACCTTGATTAAGAGCCATGACATGTCGTTGAGACTCATCCGATCTCTCGCCAGCATGGTGAAGGTGGTCAAGAACCCGAGATATAACACGACAATCACAGGCAGAAACTTGCAAAATGCTTTTGTCTGTGCATTATTGGCATGAGCTCTAACGGAGGGAGCGCAGAACATACCATCTCCTTCAACACCGGAATCTTTGCAGCACACTGTCAGGTCACCTCCGACACTATCGAGAGACGGGTGAGACGTACCAAGCTTCCAAAGTATGGGTTCAGGCTCATAACCGAGAATATCCTGGTCATGTAAGCATGTCTGGATTAATGATACATTCTGCATTGATGCCCACCTCGGTACAAGGAACAGTGCCACCATGGATAAGATGTCAAAGGCAACATCGATGATATAATCGCTATTTCTGAGGAGGCCAATAATCCCTAAGTGCAAGGTCAGCTCCACTGGCACCACGCCCAGAACTTCGGGAGAACAAACGGATAATCACAAAAGCCGCACTGAAACCGATGATGGCGATGTCCCACAAACTCCAAAAGTCGGTCTGATAGAACATGAGGCCCGCATCCTTGATCTCGCCGAACTCGTCATAGGCAAAAGCAGCAATCCAAAGATATAACACGGTTTCTGTGGCGGTAATGTGGCTTGGATCCCGCTCCACCAATACAGCATAATACAGTGCCAGAAACGCGAGAAAGAAGCTAATCTGAAAGGCCTTTTGATACTTGGGGACCCTTAGACGGGTAAAGGGGTCTGCTACCCGTTTGTTGTACACTCGGGGTTTCTTGACGGCGTAGACGGAGAGACTCTCCCAGAAAATCACGTCGCCATTCCAGATGTCTTCGACGATCTTCTGAACAGGGTTCTGTGAGAGGAACTTCTTTGCGTCCCCGATGGCGGCGATTTCCAGGGCGTTCATACCAGCCATGGATTCATCCAGGTAGGCTCTTCGCGTCGCATCGTCCTCATCGCCCGGAAATGTACTTGAGGTGCCAGGGCCAGGGAGGTGGTCGAACGAGGCTCGTTTTGGGGGGCGGAGAACCGCACCACGTTCGGCCGATCGGGCGCGTATAAGGGGCGATGTTTCATCTGCGTGATCTTCCTCGACACGACGACCAAAACTCCTATCAGTAGTAGAGTCTGATGGGGATTGTCGCGTGCTCTCGTCCGGGCTTTGGGGCAGTTCGTAGAGAAGGTAGTCAATGAGTTCCTTCTCCGACAAAAAGGTAAGAAATTGCCACGCTACAAGTTCACAGGCGAGGGCCCTCGACTCGTTCAAACCGCTGTCCGCGTCTGCGTCAGCATTGGTGAAGAGATATCTGGCTGCCAGGAGTGCCGCAACGATGGCGGGATGGTGGCAGTCAGCACTCAGATATGTAATGAGAGGCTTCAACGACTGTCCAGCACTAGTGGTACGCAGCTGCTCGTAAGTGTAGGCGGCATCAATGGCTTTGGCGATGTATGAAGACAACTTGAAGACAACATCGGAAAAGAGTTCTCGTGAATCGATGATAGGGACATCGTTTTCTTCCCAGGGTTGGAATTTGCTGGACCGGGGAGTGTGAGGGTCGAGACTGGCCATTGAGGCGTCGACGTAGCTTTTGAGATTGAAACGGAGACCACGAGGGCGCATGGGGGACAGTGCTGGTCCTAATCGATTGAAACAATGGGTGTCATGATGGGAGGGGAAGTGCCAAAAGCGAGAAAAGTGTGTTGGTCGAGATACTGTGTTCAGAGATCAAAGATCGTCATAGGGGGATTTCAGTTTATGGAAAGGTATCAAAGTATGAGGTAGCATTTGAGGAGTTGATAACGAGCAAGCACTAGTGATATACTCCGCCGTAGACTAGTAGATGTTCTCGAGCGGATCAAATGTACCCTATACGCAGCGGAGAGCGAATGACATCATGTCTTTTTTCCTTTTTCATCCACTTCAACTCTACAAGAACCGCCTACTGAGTAACTGTCACTCACTAGTATGGTTCAAAAGATGGCAACTCAATATTCAGACAGGCCCTTACTACACTCAGATATCCTTCAGTCAATTAGCTCCACAAACACGAAGCTGACATCTGATTTGTCTCGAAAAGGACACGCGCAAGTCCCCGTCGCCTTGGTCCAAAGCCATTGCTCTCCATCTGGACGGAGATCAACGACCTCGTTCATGAAAGAGGACTTTCTCTTACCCAACAGTGGGCCAAACATGTCTTTTTCATCTTCGCCTTGACTTTTGATCCTCCTCACTTTCTGTCTGTCATTCTGTTCTGCTTCGAGCCTCCCTCCCAAAAACATGGCTCTTCCTACTCCCTATGCTCCCAATACCACGCACACCGTGCCCGCCCGCTCATCCGTGGCCGTCCCTCTGTCGCCGTCGCAGAAACTGACCGTGACAAACACCCATGGCAGTCAAGTGATTGACTTCTGGGCATTTCAAGTGCCTTCTTCGGACACAAAGGAGCTGACCACGTACCTGTCCATGTCGCACACGCGGGCCTCGCTGCTCAGCCTGAGCCCCGTGGCGCCGTGCACGCTGACAACGAACCAGCGCACGCCCATCCTCAAGTTCACTAGCGACAGCTCGGGCTGTATCCACGACACGCTGATCCCGGCCTGTGACATCCACCGATACCACCAGCTGGGCGTCCCATCCGATCAATACCACGCCAACTGCTCAGACAACCTTCGCACGGCCCTCTCCCGCGACGCGCCCGGCTACGCGCTTCCCCCACCGTTCAACACGCCGACATCCACCGTTCCAGATCCGCTGAACCTGTTCATGAACATCCCCGTGTCGCCACCCCCGAAGCCGCTGCACGAGAGCAACCGGACTGCCGGCGGGGAGCTGAGCTTCAAGCCGACGGTATGCGACAAGGGAGGCCAAGTCTCCTTCGAGGCGTTGGTCAGTTGCATTGTCGTCATGAGCTGTTGTCCACAGGACCTGGTGCCCGAGGTCAACGGTGGCGTGATCCACGACTGTCATTTCATTGTCGGGGGCTAGTAACCCTCATCACCATGTACGTATCAGTACATAAATATCCCGAGCCGTTCTTTAGCAGAGGCAGAAGCATGGAGTGACGCTCGAAAGGGAAACAAAAGCCAGAGTGGACACTGACTGACAACCCCGTACGACAAAGCCGTACCTCGTACGAGCAGATGCATGTGAGACGCTGTGGCGGGAATATCATTAAATTCTCCGACTTTTTAGCCTCTGCCTCTGGCTCTGCTTCGCCGATATCATACCTTAGCTTGATACCGGGTATATATGCGAGGGGTCGGGTTCTTGCAGGGATATAGTAAAACCCAAGGCCACCGCCCGTCAAAATAAATATGAAACAGACAAGAGTTCAGATCTCCATGAATCGACCTGTATTATTACGCTATTAGGTCATGATGCATGAACGGCTCTTATTTTCTCAGCTGTGTCAAAATGGACCGGATCGACTTTTTCAATTCTCGCTCGAAAGCATCCTCGTGTCTCATATCATATGTGCCCTGGTTGCTTCCCATCCTTCCATCAACAACAGCCCTGCTCTCCGACTCAAATTCGACGAGTTGCTCGTCGAATTGCTCAACTGCAGGTTCCCAATCTCGCACCAATTGTTGATTGGCAAACAACTCAGATACTTGCACCACGAACACGTGTCGCGGTACTTGTAAAAGTTGTTCAGGAGCACAATGAATGCTACCAACACGCCAATCAACGCCCCCAAACGAAACAGCCACCAAGCCCACCACAAGGGCTTCCTTCCTTTGAAGAAACCGACGGGTTGTTTGGCAAAGGCAACCACATCAGCGGGTACCGCCGTTGTAACTGGTTTGGATGCGGTTGGGGACGATGACGCCAGCATCGGATCCTTGGGGTTAATGCTCACGTCTGCATCTGAGCCGACATTTCGATAGGACCCAGTGTTAAGATTTGTCGTTTCGCCGATGCGCTGGCGAAGGACATTGGGAGAATGTAGAAGGCATATTCCCGCCGCAAGGCCCATCAGGAAACCCCCGATGTGAGAGAAATTGTCCAGGCCAGGCAACAACCCCAGAACAAACGAGATGACGATATCTACCATGATCCACATCAAGTCTTTGACAGGATGGCGTCGTTCATTCCAGCCATAGATCAAGTCCAGGAGAACCAAAGCAAGGATGCCGAAAAGACATCCCGATGCTCCTGTCGATGCAATAGCCGTGGCTGCAAAATTCCCGCCCAAGACAAATCCAAAGATGCCCGAGCTGAAATACACAATGGCAAATCGAATGCTGCCAATTGCTTTCTCCAGTTCACGACCCATGGTAAGTTGCAAAAGCAAGTTGAATGCAATGTGAATAAGGCCCGCATGTAGAAACATGGGGATGATGAACCGAAACCATTGGTTCGGATGCTCGTTACTGAAACCAGAAAATCCACACAGGGTTTTGAGATCGCAGTGGTTGCTTGGTGAGTTTGGATCGGATGTAGTGGTATTAGGACATGGCCAAGTAGGAGGGTCGGGGCTGTCTTGGACGCCGGGTGTAGTCCGCATACATGGCACAAATCGAGCACCCATGTTAATCTGCACATATGTCGAAGGCCCGATCATGGGATTGAATTGCGGCTTGATCATGATGGGAGACCCTGTAATGATCGCTGGTTTTGGTCAGCATCGAGTGCAGAGGTCCGGGACAGGTGTACTCACAATTCCTAATTATCTCAACCACAAAAACTGTAATTTGTATCAAGCTCAGAGTGTACACAACCCATGGTATCTTTCCCTTGAAAAAGTTTGCAAAAGAACCTTCCGTTTTCTTCCTTCCTTTTGAATCTGGCAGCAAATGTGGTGAATTCGAGTCGGGAGAGGGAGGATACTGTGAGGACTGATTCCGCCAGTCAGGCACATCTTGATTCGTATTGAGTCTGGACTGTTGCTTCAGCGGTATCGTGTCTGAGTGTACAGATTGTCTGGTAGGGTCGTAAGGTTCGTAGAAATTAGACAAAGGTCTGGCACTGTATGCTTGAGAGAGCCGTGACTGATCGAGGTTAGAAGAGCTGTTTTGGGGATTATAGGCGAACGCGATATGCGAGACAGGTCTTTCTTTTTGCGGCCGGGTAGACTGCGATGATTGAGCCATAGACTCTCCCTGATAGTAGTCGTTGGCAGCCATGGCGGTTGTAGTAAGAAGAGAGCAGTAGGACTGAATTGCTCCGCTGCAGAAACGTAAGGAGTGCGGCAAACGAGCGTAGGATATTCACTGTGTCAGAAACTGACGGTGCAAGAATCGTAGGTGACGTCCAAGGGGGACGATTGTCGCTAGATCCGAACCACCATCATTCCTGACGGATACTGAATTGACCGAAGAGAGCGCGAAGGTCGACGATGTGACGAGTGTGTCAATGACAATTAGACCCGTGATTCCGTCGGGATGTTGACAGTCTGCGAGGCTTGACAGATGCCCAAGCAACGGATCGATGAGATCGTGGATCGGCTGAGGGGATGAGGTGTCGTCTCGTTAGAAAGCGAGGACCCAGAGTCGAGGCGGAGATTTGGACTTGAGAGAGATTAGAGGGATGGCATTAATCGGCAAACAGCCTGAAGTTTGGGGCATTCAAAGGAGTGTGTTGTATTCAAAGAAAGTGGGAGAACAAACGATAAGGTATTGAGTGAAGGCCGCAGTTGAGGATGCTTGGGATGTTGGAGTGCCTCGACAACGCACCATGGCCTTTACGCACATCAACGTGGCTCAGGAAAAGGGTTATTGCCACACGAGGACGATGAGCAATGTTGTTTAGGCGTAGGATGGGCTTAGACGGAGGCGTGGGAATTTGGCGTGTCTCAAGATTCAGGAACAAGCTTAGTCGCTGGAGCGGCAGCCCGCACCAGCCCCAATGCAGCCCGTCACGCGGGCATCCAGCACCTGTGAGTGGCTGTGGCACAGTCAAGTCTACCCCGGTGCCACTCGTATTCTGATGCGCAAAAATAGACCCCGTTCCCCCTGCTTCGTCTTACGCGTTAGCTGCAGCTGTAAGTGCGCAAGCTGATGGTTCCTTCAAGTTTCGCATCTGCACGACCTCGTTCAGCTCGGTTTCATCCATAATGTGTCAAAACCATGCACATGATGAATACATCCCTATCCAGTACGTGGATAGATCAACTACAGGGAGAAAAAGGACTGGGAGGCGGTTCTGCACTCGTATGTCAAGTCTTTGGACATCATATTAGTCTATTATAATCTGTTTGTAACAATATCTCTTTTCCTGTTCGTGGGGCTCATGATGCCTATTAAAAGGCCGGATCCGAGGCAATCTTCCAAAAAAAGAAAGCTGCCATGAAATACAAGAATCACACTCATGTCAAGCCGACATGGTGACTCTCAGTCCACCAAATAAATATACAGCTCATTGCCAGCACCAATGCTCGGCACCTCCTCTTTTACTTTTGCACATCGGCCATGTACCCTGCTGTTTGCCCCGTGTGCACTCGGTAAAACACATCCGCTCAGTTCACTGGTTCTGCAATCAATTTGTCCAAACCAGAAATGCCAGTCTTGATGAGTGTGGTTCGAAGTAATTCCAAAGTGGGATGTTGCGAACAAGTCGAGGGCTGCTGTGGCCAAATGCGAAGGATAACCTTCAGTTGAGCACGTCATGATGATGAGGGACCTCGAGGCGAGGATGCCCTGACTGAAGCTTGAGCTAAAACGATGCAAGGCTCGGTCAATTCGGAAAGGGTCTTCCGTGTTGATCCTTGGGTTGGAATTTGTGACAGTTTGTTCGAGGATCCCCACGCGTTCGAAAATGTATATCAGGCAGCGCAAGTGACTCGAGGTGTCATTTACATCTCCCTTCCAATATCGCAGTCCTCGTGTAACGTGGTTTGTCCTCTTACGCCCAACAGCTGATGTTGCCGGATCTGCCGGGGTCATGAGCAAAGTTGTGGAGCGCTGGAAAAGGAACCAGTCAGGTAGTATATCAGCCGGCAAAGAGTGTTGACGATGAACGGCTCGAAGCCCCAGAACAGCGCGTACAGAAGAGCGGTGAAAGCGATAAGGATGACCGAGTTGAAGATGAGTTTCTCGCCCGGGGTCATAACATAGAGTCCAAAGGTGACTTCATACTGGTAATATCGCAGTCGCAGGTAATTTGATAGCTTTGCTGGCATTGAAACAAGCGGCTTGCCGAGGGAGCGGTGGGAGGAAGAGGAGCTGGACGTAGCCAGTAGCTGGACGGCAGCCATGGCCATGGGGGAGGAGAAGTAATTGGCCGAATTGGGAGGAGCAGAGTCGATGAAGAGAGGGAAGGGCTCGAGGGAGTGGTGGAAGTCGGCGGTCATGTTGATATAGAAGAGGAAACCAGAGGGCAAGTGGGAGGTAGGTTGGTGTAGGGGGCAACGGATGCGATGGAGGCTTTGTACTCAGCTCGCGTGTCGCAGGGCTTTTTGATCGTAGATTCGGGCCTGGCGGGACCTGGTTCGGTAAAGGACTGCACTCGTAGGCACAGAATCCCCAATGAGGAAATGATCCAAGCAAAGACCAAGCGTTTGATTTGCCGCAGGAGCAGGTGAAATTATGGGACAAGAAGTTTAATGATTAGATCAAAGGGCAGACCCCAGGATGGATAAGTGAGGAATGTGGATTGTGGTGATTTTAACGAGGCTGGAAAGGGAGAAGTGATGAATTGGGGTGGTGGATGCAGCGCAGTTTGCTGACTCGTACCGACGTCAGGTACTGGGCACGAATTGCGAGGTACTTGGAAACAGAGCAACTCTCGAGTCTCGATACACGGTTTCCTCACGTCTAGGATCTTCAGCGTGTCGAGAGATGTAAAGAACCAAAAGAACTCTAAGATGTACTCCCCCTCTCCCATTTATGGAGGTTGATCACGATACCACCCGCTGCCCTGGGATTTCCAATGCCTCATGCGCCAAAATGAACACGAGGGAAAAAATTGGGCATATGGGGCAAAGAGGGCAAATAGGTAAAGGGCCGGCATTACTCGGATTTGCGGGACACGCTGGATGACCAACAATTGGTTCAGCCTGTCAACCAAGCGACTAAGCGACCCTGCTGGCCTGCAACCAATATATTCATCCGGAATATGCGGCTCAAGGTTGGGAATTTCATTATTATTATTATTATTGTGGGCAAGTCGACCGCCTCGGCGCCGTTTCGCTCTTCTGCCCACGCTACCACACTACCCCTTTGGTGCACCCGCCACCCACCCGCCAACATGTACGATGATGTGATATTTCTCTCGTCGTCTTCTTGTCCTTTCTGCTCAGATGATGTCGACCCTCTCAGTTCAGACCTGCTGACTACGCTCCCAACTTACGAGTCATTCGATCAGAAGTTCCATTCATCATGACTTCTTGACTCTCTGACAGCATAATCGTCCTTCCGTCCCATCCGGGCTCGCCGTCCACCGCGCCCCTCTTTATTCTCCCTCTGAACGATCATTCCTCGTATTCTCCATCCTCCATGCCCTCTCGTTCTCTAAGCAATCCCCAGTTAGGCCGTGGTTCCTGAAAAGATAGGACAGGTGGACACAACAAAGAAACACTCCGATGGAGCATGTTACTAAAGAGTTGTGGCTCGGGACCGTCCTCTCGGGCGCCATTTGCTCAGTCAAGACGGTAGTATTTTGTGGATATTACCTCGTATAGTCTCTACAAGTACAAGTTGTTGTCGTCATGGACTCTAAACCATTACCCTGAACCCCGCTAAAAATCCACTCCCGGTCAAAACTTTTCTTCAACATCCATAAACACCCCGTTGTTCTTGCCTTCATGCTCCCGGTGGTGGTAGGTTCAAGTCGAATTCTTCTTGATCATGGGCAACTCTTCCCACGATGCAATTGATCTCATTCGACGGAATCAGCCCCGGGGTGCGATCTGGAAGCCGGTGCGTCTCCAGATGTGCTAGGAAGGCTTGCAGTCCTGTGAATGTGGGTGTCACGTTGACTGTTGTCGCTTTCTTCTCTCCAAACACACCTAGCCTGGCCAGCTGCGTCGACACTCCGTCCTCGATCCAGCCTTTGGCCACTCCCTCCACACAACAGAAGTAACAGGCGAACACGTCGCCACTATTCATTGCATCGCCGATCGTCAATTTCTTGGACACATGACATTTGGCCAGTAGGTTCCATCGATATTTAATGCCTCCTTCAGAATATCGTACTTTGGTATCGTACGTCTTCTCAGCCTTGACCGCGCCACGTCCACCGCTCGGCAGCGCCCTTGAGACTAATGCTGGTCCTTCGAAATTGCACTTGGTGCAGCGCCAGAAATGTTCTTGACCTTTTGGCCCCTTGCGGTGCTCGAGCGAGAAACCCTTTTTGCGTGCGCCGAGTTGTTGCCTCACTGCACCCTTGCAGAATCCAGCAAGATTCGATTCACTCGGCAAGTTGAGCTGCGATCGCGCTATTTGCAATTGAGGTGGACCTGCAGGGGTCGATGCCAGCCGCATAGTAGATTCTAGTGACGCACTTTCAGATGTGGATTTCACCGTGATGCTGTCCGACATGCTATCCACGGACTGCACCGTCGGCGAAGTCGGGCTGTTCAATGTGGCTATGTGCTCACTGCCACTCACGTCGAGCACTTTTGGCTTCACGTAGCGAGGCAGTCTGTTGAATTGCGCCTCCAATGCTGAGGGTGCAGGCTTGTGTATTGCCTCGGCGATTCCAGGGGGCAGTCCCCTGCGAATCGCGAATGATCCTATTTTGGACCCATTCGAACCAGTAGATCGAATCGACAGCGGTCGTGGAACTGAAGGAATCGGCGGCACCTGTGTAGAGCAACACAGTTAGTTCTCGTTAAGCCCGGCATTGTTGTTTGACTTACCCTTTGCTGGAAAAGAGGATCAGGTAGAACGGGCCGTATTTCACCCCCAGCGTTGCTGGTCTGGGGCCTGGAGACAGGCGAACTCGTTGTCGGTTGGTTCTGTAATACATTTGGATTCTGGTACCCATGCCACATCGACTGCTGCACCTGCTGTTGTAAATGGGGAGGCAGCTGTTGCAAAAGGCTTTGGTACTGTTGTTCTAGACCTGCAGCTGCTGGGGGACGACTCCGAGGTTCCGACGGGGCGACGAATTCCAGGGTGCTGTAGTCAGGATTTAACGGAACGGCCTGTCGTTGGTTTGATGACATCGTCGTCGACATATTTTG